TATGGCTGGAAGGATGTGAGGCTTGATTTATTTGCTGTCTGGTGGGGGCGATTTCTGCAGTGAAATGCACTGACCACAGCCAATAAGTCAGGCTGCTGGTGCTTACCAGCCTCAGCTTTCTCCATATAGTCCTCTAGACTATAGACACAGAGAAAGTGAATATGGTGATAGACAGCACAACTTCTCAGCTCAACTTCCACATGCCAAGGCTGCACCAGCACGGTTTGGGATTATTATGCCATGATTGAAATTTTTGAAAAAGTATATTTTTTTGGCTCTACAATTGTGGCATGCTGCATGAGTTAATCCAACCACGCCTATGTTTCAAAAGAAAAGATGGTAAGCTATAAATTTTAGCTAGGGAACAAATAACTGATAAGAATAACTCACTTCCTTTTACACACTTCTGCTTGGGGCTGTGTTCTCACTCATTTTAATAAATTATACAGGAACTATCGAAATGGTAATTACTGAAATAATGCCGCACAGACCATATCACATATAGTGACAAGCTTTGTGTAACGACACTACAGTGAATTATATTTTCTGAATTTCTGAGGAAACAATTATTTGTTCAGTTGGGGAGACATTTAATACTTTGTTTAGGAAGAGATGAGCTCCACACGTCTAAATTATTACAGTTCGTTAATAAATCTGTCTGCTTAGTGTACACAGGAGAGAAACAGGGCTAGCTAAAGTTGATATATACAAACAGTAATAAAGCACATTGAGTTAACAGATTTTAGGGAAAAGAAGAACATAAGCAACAACCAACACAATATTGTCAGACATTTCAAATTTTAAAAACAAAAACACATCTAAATATCGAATGTCCAAATATAAGAATCACCTATCTTGATAGAGAAAAAGAAACCCGTAAAAAAGCTGCACTCCAAAAATCATTTATTGGTGAGTTTAATTCACATCTGATTGCAAACAGTCCACCTAAGCTCCTCCCCAGAAGGATAGCTTGGGTGGACTATCTGCCATCTCGTGTAAATTAAAACTACACAGCAGTAACTTATACTGAAGTACAGCTCTCTTTTTTTTTCCTCACATAATACTGGTGGCTGGGACAAGCTGTGATGAAAGTTTGCACCTAGGTGAGTAGCTGGGGTGAAAGTGTCTGGAACATATTCACACATATGTGGAGTGGATTGAAGCTCAGGTTTCACATCTGATTGATACGGTAGCTATTCATTGGTTCAAGTCAGGTTCAGGACAGGATTAGATCAGGTTCAGGTCAGGATTTTATCCTGGTTACAAGTGATGACGTGCAATTTAGAAATGGTTCCCATAGAAGTCAATAGCCTGTAATCCGCACCTGAACCAGACTGCACTGCTCAGAAATCGGACAGGACTCTTTTTCAATCTGCACTGCCAGTGTATCGGACATAGGTGAACAGGCACGATAGGAAGCAGTGTTATTTCACATGTCATGCAAATTTGATGCGGTTCAAATTGCATCCAATCCGCATATGTGAACCGGCACTTGCATACTACTGATCAAACTGTATAAAAAGTCAAGTACTGTAGGATGGTACACTGTGCTCTATGTTTATGGTGGCTTGAAGAAACTCTTTTCATTAAAGAAAATGGAAAAATGTTTGATCATCACTGAAAGCAGAAAACCCTCCATAAACGTAATTCAAGAACACTGAATCTTCTAAAGCCCATGGAGCTCTGCTATGCAAATGTTACCTTTGCTTCACAAAGTTAGGCTTGTCCAGAACCCTCTTCCAATAAAAATGATTCTTAAAGTGTATGCCAAGTAAAATAAAAAAACACACACACATATATATACATACACACTCACACAGCTCAAAAAAATTAAAGGAATACTTTTTAACCAGCTTCAGCTTAAGTAAAGCTTCAAGTCAATGAAACTCCTGGGATATTGATCTGGTCAGTTTCAGCTGCTTTGGTGTTAATTAAGTTACCAACAGGTGCACTAGATGGGAAACAATGAGACAACCCCCAAGACAGGAATGAATTTACAGGTGGAGGCCACTGACATTTTTTCCCTACTCATCTTTCCTGACTGTTTTTCACTAGTTTTGCATTTGGCTAAGGTCAGTGTCACTACTGGTAGCATGAGGTCACACCTGGACCCTAGAGACTGCATAGGCAGTCCAACACCTCCAGGATGGCACATCAATACGTGCCATTGCCAGAAGGTTTGTTGTGTCTCCCAGCACAGTCTCAAGAGCATGGAGGAGATTCCTGGAGACAGACAGTTACTCTAGGAGAGCTGTACAGGTTCGGAGAAGGTCCTTAACCCATCAGCAGGACCGCTATCTGCTCCTTTGTGCAAGGAGGAACAGGATGAGCACTACCAGAGCCCTTTAAAATGACCTCCAACAGGCCACTGGCGTGAATGTCTCTGACCAATCAGAAACAGACAATGCGAGTGGCCTGAGGGCCCAACGTCCTCTAGTGGGCCCTGTACTCACTCCCCGGTACCATAGAGCTTGATTGACATTTGCCATTGAACATCAGAATTGGCAGGTCCAACAGTGGCACCCTGTGCTTTTCACAGATGAGAACAGGTTCAACCTGAGCACATGTGACAGACGTGAAAGGGTCTAGAGAAGCCATGGAGAACGTTATGCTGCCTGTAACATTGTTCAGCATGACCGTTTTGGTGGTGGGTTAGTGATGATCTGGGGAGGCATTTCCATGGAGGGACGCACAAACCTCTACAGGCTAGACAATGGCACCCTGACTGCCATTAGGTATCGAGATGAAATCCTTGGGCCCATTGTGTGCTGGTGCAGTGGGTCCTGGGTTCCTCCTGGTGCATGACAATGCCAGGTCTCATGTGGTGAGAGTATGCAGGCAGTTCCTGGAGGATGAAGGAATTGATACCACTGAATGGCTCCCATGCTCACCAGACCTAAATCCAATAGAACACCTCTGGGATATCATGTTTCGGTCCATCCAATGCCACCATGTTGCACCTCAAACTGTCCAGGAGCTCAGTGATGTCCTGATCCAGATCTGGGAGGAAATACCCCAGGACACCATTCATTGTCTCTTTAGGAGCATGCCCCGACATTGTCAGGCAGGCATACAAGCACGTGGGGGCCATACAAACTACTGAGTAACATTTTTAGTTGCTGCAATGAAATTTCAGTAAAATGGACTATCCTGCTGCATCATTTTTTTATTTTGATTTTTTTGGGGTCTCTCTGAATTCAGTCTTCTCTAGGGTGATAATTTTCATTTCCATCACACGATGGGACATCCTTATGATCCTAACACATTACCCAGTCCAGATCAGTATAGCTATCCAACACAATATTTTTCCCCATTGAGATCTGATATGTTTTCAAAGTGTTCCTTTCATTTTTTTGAGCAGTACACACACACACACACACACACACACACACACACACACGCAAAAAAAACACACACCAAAAGTATAGGAACGCCTGCCTATACATGCACATGAACTATAATAGCATCCCATTCTTAGTATGTAGGGTTCAATATTGAGTTTGCTCACCCTTTGCAGCTAAAACAGTTTCAACTCTTCTGGGAAGGCTGTCCACAAGGTTTAGGAGTGTGTGTATGGGAATGTTTGACCATTCTTCCAGAAGCACATTTGTGAGGTCAGGCACTGATGTAGGGCAAGAAGGCCTGGCTCACAGTCTCCACTCTAATTCATCCCAAAGGTGTTCTATCAGGTTGAGGTCAGGACTCAGTGCAGGCCAGTCAAGTTTCTCCACCTCAAACTCGCTCAACCATGTCTTTATGGACCTTGCTTTGTGCACTGGTGCGCAGTCATGTTGGAACAGGAAGGGGCCATCCCCAAACTGTTCACACAAAGTTGGGAGCATGAAATTGTCCAAAATGTCTTGGTATGCTGATGCCTTAAGAATTCCCTTCACTGGAACTAAGAGGCCAAGTCCAACCCCTGAAAAACAACCCCACACCATAATCCTCCTAACACCAAATTTTACACACACACACACACACACACACACACACACACACACACACACACACATACATACATATATACATATATACATACATACATATATATATATATATATATGTTTAACAAAAAAAACGGAAGCACTACATGATTTGCAGGTGTGAAAGTGACAGCATGTTTTGCTTTGAAAGAAGGAGTGATGTAACATTTTTTTGCTTCTGCTGTGTGATGAGACACCTAACTATTAGGTGGGAAGTCTCCACTCTCACTTCTGTCATTCACTGGGTGCACTGCTAATAATACGGAGTCATGTCTGGGCTTACTGAGCATCGAAGAGGGCAAACTGATGGTGCCCGCTTAGATGGTGCCTCTGTGACTGAATTTGCCAATTTATTTGCCATGTCACGAGGTACAGTATCAAAGGTTTTGATGGCATATACAGTTTCTGGGAAAAATTATGAGCAATTATGATAAGCATAAGCACAGTTGAAATAGTCAACTGACCGAAAGAAAAAAAAGGACATTGTGCAAAATTGTGACGGGGAATAAGAAAACAACTGCTGAAAAAGTGACTGCAGAACTCAATCTCTTCAAGTGTTAAGGCTAAGGCTTTAACAGATGGGCAGAGCTCCAAGGAAAGTCAAAGTTCAGGTGGGTAAATGTTCCTCCCTCACATTTTTGTTCCGTTTTTGCTTGTTGACAAAAATTGGAATTGATTTTCATCTTAGTTTTTATCGGTTTCATCAATGAAAACATGCAGCTGAAAATGAGGAAATTATTTTCGTCAGCGAAATTAACACAGATATGGGGTGTACAGTTATGGGAGCTAAACTGGTTACCATGATGATCAAGCTCAGCAACCAAAAGTAAGGCATAGAAGAAGGAAGGGTGCAGCTGATCCTTCAGCAGGCAGCAAATTTACGCCTCAGTATGGCTAGGGTGCTCTAGAATACTTTTAAATGAACTTGGGGGAAAATAAGTGATGTTAACTTTGCACTTTTCTCCAGTGAAAAGAATGGTTTTAAGTCCCTATAAGCTTTGCCCAGGTTAAACTTACCAGTGAATGAAGAAGACTGGGAGTGTATTGAGCCTTTGTTGAGCATAGTCATAATTTTACCCACAAAGTCCTTGGGAATAAAATTGGCGTAAGGTAATATCTCTGTGCTGATTAACTGGACAACCTAAAAAAGAAGGTAGTTTTCAGTTATCTTGTAAATCCTGTAGGTGCAGCATATTATTACAGCCTAAACACGAATTTGCAGACATGACACAGCCGTCGTGTTATATGATTTAGACATTGGATGGCCAAAAAGCACTGTAGCCAGAGCAAATATACTCAATAACGCTTATTTAATAATACAGTTACTATTTTGCTGACATATAGAAGTTGGATCAAACTCCACTGAGGGTCAAATGTTAGTTCTCTCCATGGCATACCCTAACAGAAGACTGTCACTGTAAGGCAGTAGCATTTGTTACAAGCGCAAATAAAAAGTGCATTGAAAAAGAGCATTCAAATATAATGAGTGGGAACAGTTAAACACCTATTCATGAGCATATTTAAAAATGAATTGATGGTTTTCTCCACTTCCTTTTAAGATCACAATATAATATTGTATATTTCCATCAACCATTGAGTTGTCTAATTACTCCCACGATGTGGGTTTCACAAGGAAGGTGCAATGATCAGCAAGCAGCTTGCAGTTGTTTTAAACTGGTTTTGGATTAAGTGCTTCAAGGTAATCTGTAGTAGCATTTCTATGCATCTATGCTCAAGTTAAGTGCTTTTAGGTACAAAGCTCTTAAAAGCAAAAAATAAACCAAATCAAGACATTAAACATATGGAGAAGAAGCAGTGATAACATCACCACAAAAACTAGACAACTATCCCCCTTTTCAGATCTATAAATTACCGGTGCTATGAAAAATTGTGACAAGTGCCAACTTGTATAAGCCTGATATTGTAAGACATGTGGCCAGTGTGTATAAGCCCAATACTGTAAGCCATGTGACCAATGCCCAATGTGTAAAAGTCCGGTATTGTAAGACACGTAACCAGTGGCAGTGTGTATGAGCCTGATATTGTGTGATATGTGAAGAGTGCCAGTATGTATAAGCTCGATATTGTAAGACATATAACCGGTACGAGTGTGTATAAGCCTGATCTTGTAAATCATGTGACCAGTGTCAGTGAGTTTACGCCTGATATTGTAAGAAGCAAGAACTGTAACACATAAAAGTATACTAGCAAGACTTTAAAAAAGAAGTATGGCCAAAGCTCTTTTGGTCATACTTTTCTTGTGGGTCACAATAATGTCGGGGTCCACCCAGATGCCTGACTGGCAGCTGACTCAGATTCTCAGTGCACCGTCCACAGCCTGAGATAGCCATTCCAAACCCTTCCCCTGCCCATTGCTCTAGTGAGTGCTGGAGAGGTAGAGCACAGAGTCGTGACTGACAGTCACCGGTCTGTGCCCAAAAGACCCAAGAGCCAGCAGAGGACAGCTGCAGCATCACAAGAACGTCACAGCCACATATGTAGGTGTGTTAATTTTTTTTCTCCTCACACTTCTCCTTTAACAAAACGAAAAAAAAAAGCAGATCGTTAAGTCAAAACTTCTTTGATGTGAATCTCTGTCAAAGAAATGAATACTTGGTTATACTGAAGTTTTTAAATGAGATATAGTTAAATGTTTTTGCCTAGTTTTTTTGTGTACTAATTAAAACTAGAGGTAGATGTTTTTAAATAGCTTGGCTACCATGTTCTTTACACATGAACCCTGACATATTAACTTATTATGCATCTCCACTTCTGCAGTCAAATTTGAGAAAACATAACTATATGTTTGTTATGTGTTCCCATTCAGATGGCATGCCTAAAAAACATTTTCTTATCTTTTAGAAAATGTAGATGTTCCTCAGAAAGAAGTGTTATGGCTTACTGCAAGGTTTTTTAAACAATGTTAAAGTGAGCCTGTCCCAAGTCTGTCCTCATTAACATCATGCAAGAAGCCCAGCTTCTACGGCATGAATCAAATCACTTTACAACTGATAATGAAGATCTGCCTGCACAGTACAGACAAGGTTAATTATGGAAAACACGGTTGCCCACTTCCCAAAAAGAAGTACGTAAGATTTGTTTCTTGCTGGAGGCCCTATCTAAAAACCATAAGCTGCAATTTTTAAATCCTTTTTTTTTTATTAGTATGTGAATGGGGGCATGTAACAAAGTGAGTGCTATCTGAATTTAGCTGCAAAAGTGGAAATACACTTTAAGGCCAATTAAACTATATTTACTTAAAGAGTAACTCCATTTTTGTTGAGAAAAAAAACATTCCCCACTGGGTGATCTATGTACATTGCAAGGATTTTAACAAACGTTGCTGTAGAGTCCTACCTTTTGTTATTCTGAAGAAATAGCTGTTTGTTTGTCTCTGTCCATGTGCACAGTGAATCTGTATGGAAGTGGTTTTAGAATTATCAGCTGCTAAACCTGCAGGGTTCTAATGAGAAAACTGTCAGGGTCTGCATCACTTTAGATGAGATTTCCTTTGAAAGTACCTCACCAAAAATGACATTTTTGTTGCAGGGGATGCAAAAATCTGACTTGTATCTTAGTGCAGACTTGTGGGAAAATCAGTAAGTCAATCACTCAAGCAGGTAATGAAATTTTCAGGGGGCATTCTGTACACCAACTGTGTAAAGATCTCCTCCAGGTAGCTCTGTTGCATTGCATTTTACAGAAAATTACAGCACTGCAGATTGAAAAGGAAAGGTATTTTTAATAGTATTCAAATACAATATATTTTTTTATTTTTCTATTTTTTTTTCCCATGAAAGTGGAGTTACCCTTTAAATAATCAATAGGTAGAATTCAAAGACATAACATTTTGGAACAGTCCAACAAAATATTACTACAAAATAAAATCCAAACCCAACAACTTTTCTCCCAAATACACAACTCTGCACTTGTCAAGTGAATGAAAGGGAATTGTTAACATGCAGAATAGCTAAATACATAAAGGTATGTAAAACATACCCTGGATTTGCCTTCAGGTGATTTTGAGCAAGTAAACCATTAGGGAGTATGAACTGTCACTTCTGTGCTCGGTATTTATGCTTTGAACAATGTCGATAATAAATCTTTCTGAGCATTTGGTTATGAGCAGTAACCCACTGTCGAACGGCTTATAGTTATTACAAGTGACAGCTTAATTCACCGAAGATCTATATTTGCTTCTGAATTTGTCTATGAGCTTGCTCAAGTTACTAGCAACAGAATATTGACGTTTGCCTCCCCCCTTCCTCACACAGATGGCATTACAAAGAGAGCTCTCTCTTCTTCCTCCACTCACCTCTACATCAATACTCTCATTTCTTTGAAATTCTTCAATTGAAAGATTATCTGGAGGTGAGCTAGAGAGAAAAAAAAGAAGAAAAACAGCATTACTCTGGTGGTAGTTCCAGGAAGTAAAGTGATGCTGTGTGTGGAATAACATTTCAAAGTTATATAAAAAAAAATCAGCCATTTACTTAGAAAGGAAATCATTGCATTTGCATTGGACCCTTTGTGCCAACATCATTTCACACGCCCCAGTTTACCTTTTCGGTAGATAACCTTTACCAGTTCGTACACAAGATGTTTCCCTCCCTAACACTATTCACAGTCAGTGAAAAGGGAAGTCCATTAGCAGAGGCCTGCTAATGTATTCCATCCATTTTAGTTCCTAAGAAATGATCAGGTTCTTCAGAAAGAACACTGCCCACACCCTGCAGAAACCCAAAGTTTTACACAACCTAACTGCCAAATGTACATCTTGTTTTTTCAGGCCACAAGCATTCATGTCTATAAGTACTGTCACAACCACAGATGCAGGCTTTATTCTGGACAATCACAGGTTACCAGCCTGAAGATTCCATCTAATTTGACAGCTCAAAAAACTAACAAACCAATGATATCTATTATAACAAAAGTACTAAATTTCATGTGCATAACTACAGGTATGTTATTCTTAGATGCTAATCCCTAAAGGCAGTAACCCAGAGCAAACAATCAAAATCAACACTGCTAAACTGACGTCAGACCAATGCAAGATTGTTTCTGATTTGTTGCTATGGGTAACTGCACCTGGACCTTCTAATTATAGGACTGCTTGTGACAAATATGTGATACTAAATGTATTATTAAAGAATATGTCAACCCAACATTTCATATTTTTGATATGTGCCAGCTGTACCACATAATTCTATGAAAACTGTAATTGTATTGCTTCCTTTGTGTGAAATACCTGGTATTCCTGCTAGTCCCTCTGCTTGCCAATAAAAAAAAAAAAAAAAAAAACTGACCACACTAGGCAAGAGAGCACAGTGTGGTCAGTTCTCTAGCTGTGTTAAGAACTCAGCCTGCTCTCCTCCAATGATCAGACTTGTGCTGACACTCCCCCCTCCTACACAGCTATTCTGTTTCTCATTCCCCAGCTCTCTGAAGCTCCTTATGCAGCTGAGAAAAGAGGGTATGAGATCATTTATGGAAATATATATATAACATTTTAATATGAATACACAAAGTTTTGCCTTTCATTTCTATTTTACACTGAATGCGTTATTTTCCAAAATGAGGGTTCAAATATACATAAAAAATAACATCCTTATGTGCATTTGACTGAACAATATAAAATACATAATATCATATTTGGAATTCATCTGACCAAATTAACAATAATAATGAGCATGAAGTATTCAGGCCATACATTTCTATTAAAAAAAAAAAAGGGAGTAGTATGCATCCAATGATAGTGGATACTCCTCAGTGGCACCCTGGGATGTTAGAAGCAAAACACAGTAACTAGCAGCCATCTATTGATGTCTTGTTTTCATGATTAGACATGTCCCCCCATCAGGAGCACTATACCCCAATTACTGTACAGCTTGTACTTATTACAAATGACAGCTTAATTCACAGACAATCTCTATTTGCTTGGCATGTTTTCAATCAATTTTCTTAATTTACCAGCAATGGATATTTGATATTTGTCTCCCCGCCCCCACTTCTTGCATATTACATAGATAGACAATCTGAAGATCACATTACTGATTTATGACAAGCAAGGGATTAAAGACCGGCATAGAAGAATTAACATGATTTTGACTGGATTCCTACCAAAACAGGCGACATATTTGAGCACCGTTCCATTTGTTTCACTTGCAAGCCTCAATGCTGTAGGCGCTGCTATTTTTGACTTGACAAAACAGAAATATTTTCGTGCTGCTACTTATTAACTGTTTAGAAATGTTAGTGTTTGAATGTAAGCTGCAATGGGTCTCATGCTTATAAGGGTCTGAAAAAGATATGTTCTTGCTGCTTATAGCAACCAGTCTTCTCGTACGTCGCACTGCAAACATCAAAGGCAACATCAAGCTATAATAGACAAGTATATTAACTTAAAAAATGTATCTAATACTTTGCAATCCACAGAGTTTTTGTTTTAACCTCTGAATAGGACAGCAAAAAATGTCTTTGCAACAATACACCCCATGATTGTCAAATCTGGTGTTATGAAAAATGCTAAAATGATCAGTGATTACTACTTTTACACATTTTCTATAATGATTTGTTGATAAGGGGGCATTTAATGCCTGGCTCACCAAGTGCCAATGCTCCAATTCTGTGTGGCAGTCAGAAAGCATATTGCTGATGCTTAACCAGGGGAGATGGCATCACAGGCATTGAAACCAATTCATTTAAGCTGTATTTCCCGAAACAATATTATGCAGAAAGTGGTTCAGCTTTCACAGAAATAGGCCTCTTTGGTAGTGCAAAGAACAGAGAAAAGATGAATGAAAATTAAGTAACCCATAGTAGCCAATCTCAACTTATTTTCCTAAAGGCCATCTCTTCGGACAACAAAAATGCTTGCTTGCACTGGGGCTGCCCCTACACATCAAAGAATAAATGCTTACTTAGGATAATTCTCTGCTCTCCTCTACTCCTCTATGTTCCAGTGCTAGAATGTCCCTCAGCATGTAAATCAAGGGCTGTGAGATCTGCATTATACTTGATGACATCAAACGACCTGCGGCCGTTTGAGCGTAGGTGTAAAGAGGGTACAGGAACCAGTCTTAAAGCCTGGAGGGAGCCTGCAAGAGCAGAGGATCAAGTAAAAGTGCTTTTTGCACTTTAATCAAGCATTTAACCCTTGCAGCGCGGGGGCAGCCACACTGCCACGGAACGTTTTTTCCTTTCCCCGGTGTTCAGCCTAAAGTCTGATCAGAAGAAGTTGAATTCTAGTTGGTTACTTTGGATTACTGAATGTCACTATTTATCTTACTGCATTACCATAAAGTGCCCATGTACAGTGAGCAAGGTTTCCCATTCTCTCTCCTGAGTATAAATGGGACAAACATTTTTAAGCTTAGTCTGACCACAAAGTGCACTAGTCACTGCATAAAGGAAGTCCAACTGAATCCCTAAAAACTGATGAAATACAGTGATGGTATTTTCAGTGTCAATCAAATTTTTCCTATAAAGGCATATTTCACCATTTTAAGGTTTAACTAGAAGGTAGAACTTCAGACAAACAGCAAAGTACAATAAATGAATAAAATGATAGGAGCTTTTCAAAAAATATATAGTCACTTAAAACAAACCATATGCTGATATAAAAATCCATTAAACTGATTGTTATAATTACTTGCTCTGTGCAATGGTATTGCAGAGTGGCCTTAAACCTCCTCTTCTAGGGTCCTCCGCTGGCGTGCTAGGTGGCTCCTCTTCTGAAAGCGCCACCATAGCAAGCGGCTTGCTATGAGGGCGCATGTGCATAAATAGTCACATACAGTGGGGTTCAGCCCCTGCTTGCTACTCACAGGATGTGACTGACAGCAGCAGGATTCAATGGCTCCTGCTGCTGCCTCTGTGTCCTGTGAGAAGAGAGAGGGAGAGACCAGCGCCACTGCAAATGGGCACAGCGTTGGAGTGATGCTACCCCATTTAGAACCACTTTAAATGTAATATCTCTGGACAGAATCTCCATATTGAATGCACTTGTCTCATTTCAAAAGATATTAAGGACTGGTCAACTAAAACAATCATCTGCTCTCACCAGCTGGATGCAGCTAAACACAAGAACAAAAAAGCAATATATTGCAGCTTACCAGACCTCAAATGTGTTATCTACATTAGTTTCCCTTTTTAAGGATTCTTCCTTTATATTAATCCTGTCTTGAGCACACTTACTAGAGCAGTATCACCACCATCCATTAAGCAGCAAAATGACCCAGAAAACTGTAAAGCAGATCTTGCAAACAGAGTAGTCATCCTCCTGGCTGTGCAGTGTGGCAGATATGTGTGTGAATCAAAAGAATGGCAGAAGCAAATAAAAAATAATGGCTTATATATACACTATATTGCCAAAAGTATTGGGACACTCCTCCAAATCATTGGATTCAGGTATTCCAATCACCTCCATGGCCTCAGGTGTTTAAAAATCAAGCACCTAGGCATGCAGACTGCTTCTACAAACATTTGTGAAAGAATGGGTCGCTCTCAGGAGCTCAGTGAATTCAAGCGTGGTACCATGATAGGTTGCCATCTATGCAATAAGTTCATCCGTGAAATCTCTTTGCTACTAAATATTCCACGGTCAACTGTTAGTGTTATTATAACAAAGTGGAAGCAACTGGGAACAATAGCAACTCAGCCATGAAGTGGTAGGCCATGTAAAATGACAGAGCGGGGTCAGCACAGGCTGAAGTGTGCAGATTTCGCCAACTCTCTGCAGAGTCAATAGCTAAAGATCTCCAAACTTCGTCTGGCCTTCAGATTAGCACAACAACAGTGCATAGACAGCTTCATGGAATGGGTTTCCATTGCAGAGCAGCTGCATCAAAGACTTACATCAGTGGTGTAAAGCACTGGTGCAGTGGAGATGTGTTCTCTGGAGTGGCGAATGATGCTTCTTTGTATGAGAATCCAATAAACATGTCTGGGTTTGGCAGTTGCCAGGAGAATGGTACTTGCCTGACTGAATTGTGCCAAGTGTAAAGAATAGTAGAGGAAGCATTATGGTGTGGGGTTGTTTTTCAGGGGTTGGGCTTGGCGGCCCCTTAGTTCCAGTGAAGGGAACTCTTAAGGCGCCAGCATACCAAGACATTTTGGACAATTACATGCTCCCAACTTTGTGGGAACAGTTTGGGGATGGCCCCTTCCTGTTCCAACATGACTGGGCACCAGTGCACAAAGCAAGGTCCATAAGGACATGGATGAGTGAGATTGGGGTTGAGGAACTTGACAGGCCTGCACAGAGTCCTGACCTCAACCCAACAGAACACCTTTGGGATGAATTAGAGCAGTGACAGCGAGCCAGGCCTTCTCATCTGACATCAGTGCCTGACCTCACAAATGTGCTTCTGGAAGAATGGTCAAACATTCCCATAGACACACTCCCAAACCTTGTGGACAGCCATCCCAGAAGAATTGAAGCTGTTATAGCTGCAAAGGGTGGGCCAACTCAATATTGAACCCTATGGACTAAGACTGGGATGTCATTAAAGTTGATGTGCGTGTAAAGGCAGGTGTCCCAATACTTTTGGCAATATAGTGTATGTATTTCAACTATTGAGTATTTAGCTGCAGTATTTATCAGGAGTTAAACCTTAAACTTCCTCAGTTCTTTTGTTATCAGTACAATTCTGGCTGGACAGATGAGCCAAATTATGGCTAGATGGTAGCTGATCACAAAACATATACTGTAGCTGTTTTCTGTATGCAAATTACAATATGAGAGTGAGGTATACATATTCAGATATCAGAGTACTGAACAATGACAACAATGGTGCATGTTATATTTAGTATTTTAGCTAAAAACTATGGCACTTTTCACATAAAATGGGTAGACTAATGTATTTGACTGTGTTACAGATTCCTGTAAAGGTAATGGTAACACCAATGAACAAGCAATCATTTCTACATGCCTTTTTGTAAATAAAAAGTCCTCAAAGGTGTTGGCAAGTTCTGGCCACATGCTGTCAAATTTCCCAGAGGAAGCATGCTGCCGTGCAACAGGTAACCCGACTGAGAGCACTTTAAGTAAGGATGATACAGCTAGCTTCCATGTGCTTTCTGAAGGACAGGCATACTTCAGGCTCAATGGCACCCTCAAAGTCTGGAAAAATTACAAAAAAACAAACATCACACTTGTATCATAATCAGACATTACTAGAAATAGCCAAGTGTAGATTTCAGATATGCAGAAGAGATGCTCTGGCACAACAGTTTCGCATTCAACATTCATTTAGCAAAGAAACAAGAACGCGATTTAATGTTAACAACACATTTTAGTTTCAACTAAAGGGAACTTCATTACAGTCACTACAGTCAGACATCCTAAATTGTCTCTAGTGACATCTAGTGACCAAAAAGCAAAAATAATTCATTCTGTTATGCACACAGTCCTACTAATTACTACTAATTTGATTAGGCTGGGAAAACGAATCTGTATTCCCTAAGCACACAGATAGGTTTTCAAATTCTCTCTCATACTGCTGTTATTACTGAATCTTGACTAAGGAAGAACCAGTATTTTGCTTCTGATTGCTCAGTTCACTCCAGAAAAACACAAGGACAGCCTACCGTTCTGTGTTTGGATTCACAAAATACTCAGGTTGACATCAGTAGATATAACTCCAGCCAGAACAAATTTCTCTTTGTTGAAATGACACTCTGGGCTTGCACAAAAGCCACCTTCATAAAACATTTATAGTGTCCAGAGGGAAAATCTCACCCCGAGATCAAAGCTCAAGGTCCTGACCAAGCAGAGATGATCTGACCACATTTGCAGATATAATATATGAATGAGGCAACAGTACAGAGCTAACGCCTTGATCCTGGTAAATTTTCTCTAAATATTTTAGGAGGCAAGTAGCACTTTGAATCCTCTGACTTTCAGACTTTAAAGTGCAAGTCCAAAGCTGGACTGCAAATACAGCCATTGTGGTTAGACTTAACGAAGATTTCACATTCAAGCCCTGTAGTCTCCAGGTATACAGTTTGCACACTCTTCCATGGGCAGTACCCAGAAGATGTAAGCCTATATACCAGCAGAATGCAGGTATATAGGCTGAGATAATCTGAGATATACTCTGAGATAATCTGCTTTACAGGTACTCATATATATATATATATATATATATATATATATATATATATATATATCTATACACACATACATACAGTGAGGAACAGAAGTATTTGAACACCCTGTGATTTAGAAAGTTCTCCCACTTAGAAATCATGGAGGTGTCTGAAATTCACATTGTAGGTGCATTCCCACTCTGAGAGACAGAACTAAAAAAAAAATTCAGGAAATCACATTGTATGATTTTTAAAGAATTTATTTGTCTTGCACTGCTGAACACAAGTATTTGAACACCTGAGAAAGTAAGTGTTAATATTTGGTACAGAAGCCTTTATTTGCAATTTCAGAGGTCAAACGTTTCCTGTGGTTCTTGACCAGGTTTGCACACACTGCAACAGGGATTTTGGCCCACTCCTCCACACAGATCTCCTCTAGATCTGTCAGGTCGCTGAGCAACATGGAGTTTCAGCTCCCTCCAAAGATGTTCTCTTGGATTTAAGTCTGGAGACTGGCTAGGCCACTCCAGAACCTTGATATGCTTCTTACGGAGCCACTCCTTGGTTATCCTGGCTGTGTGCTTCGGGTCGTTGTCATGTTGGAAGACCCAGCCATGACCCATCTTCAATGCTCTGGCTGAGGGAAGGAGGTTGTTGCTCAAAATCTCACAATAAATGGTCCCATTCATCCTCTCCTTAATACAGTGCAGTCGTCCTGTCCTCTTTGCAGAAAAGCACCCCCAAAGCATGATGTTACCACCCCCATGCTTCACAGTAGGGATGGTGTTCTTGGGATGCATCTCATCCTTTTTCCTCCAAACACGACGAGTGAAGTTTAGACCAAAAAGTTCTACTTTGATCTCATCTGACCACATGACTTTCTCCCATGCCTCCTCTGGATCATCCAGATGGTCATTGGCAAACTTCAAACGGGCCCGGACATGTGATGACTTGAGCAGGGGAACCTTCCGTGCAATGCATGATTTGAAACCATGACGGCGTAGTGTTCTACCAACAGTGACCTTTGAAACTGTGGTCCCAGCTCTCTTCATGTCATTGACCAGCTCTTCCCTTGTAGTTCTGGGCTGATTCCTCACCTTTCTTATCGACAGTGATACCCCACGAGGTGAGATCTTGCATGGAGCCCCAGTACGAGGGAGACTGACAGTCATCTTTAGCCTCTTCCATTTTCTAACAATTGCTCCAACAGTTGATCTATTTTCCCCAAGCTGCTTGGCAATTGCCCCGTAGCCCTTTCCAACCTTGTGAAGGTCCACAATTTTGTCTCTGTGTCTTTTGAAAGCTCTTTGGTCTTGCCCATGGTAGTAGTTGGCGTCTGACTGACTGTGAGGTGGACAGGTGTCTTTAAAGAGCTCAGACAGGTGCTACTAAGTTAGATTAATGAGTGGAGTAGAGGTGGACTTTTTAAAGGCACAGTAACAGGTCTTTGAGAGCCAGAATTCTTGCTGTTCCTTAGGTGTTCAAATACTTATGTTCAGCAGTGCAAGACAAATAAATTCTTTAAAAATCATACAATGTGATTTCCTGAATTTTATTTTTAAATTCTGTCTCTCAGAGTGGGAATGCACCTACAATGTGAATTTCAGACCCCTCCATGATTTCTAAGTGCAAGAACTTGCAAAATCGCAGGGTGTTCAAATACTTCTGTTCCTCACTGTATATATAACACATGCATATATATATATATATTGGGTGCATTGACAAATGCAAACAACCATTAATGAAAACAGTCATCATGTAGGTCAGTGCACTTAAAAGTGTATTATTTAACCTCTTGCCGTCCGCCTGCTGTTTATAAACGGCAGGGCGGTGGCAGTCCAAGGTCGGGTTGCCGTTCCTAAACGGCACCCGCCTTTTCTAGCTGTGCGCGCTCCCTAGGAGCGCGCACCACCGCGATCCGGTGTCCGCTGTGTCCTCCGGACACAGTGAAACACCGATCGTCGGACGGGACCTCTGTACGAGGTCCCGGTCATGTGATCACTGATTGGCGAATCAGTGATCACATGCAAAGTAGTGAGCAAGATGTCACTTGTGACATCATTGCTTACTACGTGTGAAATCTGTGAATGATCACAGAGGTCACATGGTACAAGGCTATTCACAACAGCCTTGTACCATGTGACAAGCTGTGACCAATCACAGCTCACTCAGTATTTCTCAATGACTGCAAGAATGCAGACAGAGAGAAAGAGAAATGATTGCTTTTACATCCTATATGGGTGTAAAAGCAATCAGTGTAAAAAAAAAAAAAAAAAAAATCTTCATCACCCCCCACAAGTAGTACAGTGTCACCATGGTGACACTGTACTGCTAGGGTGACAGTATGTAAAAATAAAAAATAAAAATAAAAAATAATATAAAAAAAAATATAAAATAAAAATGTAAAAAAAAATGTTTAAAAATTATAATGTTTGGTTATAAACTAATTTGGATTTTTTTTTTTTACTAAAAAAATAACGGAATAAATTTTGGCCAAGATTTAGGATGAAATATTATTTATTTGCAAAATTTTATAAAAAAAAAACACTTTTTTCAAAATTTTTGGACTTTTTCATTTACATAGTAAAAAAAATAAAAAAATTCCAGCGGTGAATAAATACCACCAAAATAAAGCTTTATCTGTCTCAAAAAAATGGTAAAAAATTCATATGGGTACAGTATTGCATGACCGCGCAATTGTCATTCAAAGTGTGATAGCGCTGAAAGCTGAAAATTGCCCTGGACAGGAAGGGGGTAAAAGTGTCCGGACAGGAAGTGGTTAATACAATACTACCAATGATTTAACATTTAAACAAATGAGTGTTTAATTCAAACCCTCTGTTATGGGTCAGTTTCTCTTCTGCATCCCAGAAAGTATGTATAATTTCATTACCATGATTTCCATCCAAGACATACTTTCTTGGATGCATCTAAAAGGGCTGATGTGCCATTCCTGGAGAAAACGCTCTCTGTGCTGGCCAGGAAAGCCTACGTTTTGGGTCACCTCACGTCTAAGAGGTGGATCAGCCTGCCTAAACCCTTTATTTCCCTTACTGTTGAGATCATATGAATAGATGCCTACCCTTCAGTCACTTTCTACTACTCTGTATTTATCTAGCCAAGCGAAGCACTGTAACTAATCTATGCACAGGTCCACTTCAAACTCGTATGCTCTACACTTACAGGGACAAATTGATTTGTTCATACTGCTGCCGTTCAGTTCATTCTCTACAGTCAGGGATAATATTGTATACATGCTAAACCAGGTACATTTTTTTACAGGGCCAAAATATTACATTGAAATATACCTTAATAACATTCTGCAGAACCTTCTCACTGACTACAGCTTTATGACAAGCAGTTTTCTGGTACAGGTCCACTACAACTTCTAAAGATTTCTCAGCAAAAGGAACATAATTTAAGGCGACCCATTCTGCCTAAAATAAAAACAGAAAAAAACATTACAAATTTATAGATGGCATGACAGGATGACAGTTAGCGCAATGTAAATGTTCATGTTTTTGCATGCATAGAAATTCAGTGCTCATGACATGAAAGAGAAAGCGGAAGCATGTTGCATGCTTATACTAAGAAAGGAAAAGTCATCCATATAGGTCAACACTACTGACAGTCTTCCAGTGTACAGGTGCAATGTTACGATTGTATTTTTTTTTTTTTTTCAGGACAGGGCAATTTTTAAGGAAATGTCACTCACCGGTGCAAAAAGTTGAATCTATTTGTGATTCCATTTTTGGTGCAGAATAAACAGAATGAGAGAAGTTAATTCAGACATACACAGGTTAATTGTAGTTGAGAGCTCTGTGTAAACACACTAAATCAAACTGCTACAATTATCATTCACTTGAAATAACATAAATACCAATAATTAACTGATTTCTTTACAGGGAACTTAATTCTAGCTATTCTGAATCACAAATCAAGCTAATTTATCAGTCAAACAATGGCTGATATTTAAGTGAGGATTGATATTTGCAAAATTTTAATTTTCACTTGATGATCGGAAAATCACTTAAGGAACTGAGATTTAAGACATGCATATTACATATCGTAATTACAAGAATAATTCCACCAAACACAGAATTTCCATCATAAAATGTTTAATTACCACAGTTTTTTTTTTTTTTAAAGAGAGCAGCAGGCAGTGCATGTCCCATGCCATCTTGTCCTCGTCTTCTGTTCAGTTCATTTTATTTAATTTGATGCAGTGGAGATAAAACCTCACACTGGGCCTCATTTGTCAGCATCTTTGAGAAGAACTGTTTTTAGTGTCCCAAAGTAACTAATCAGATCAAGTCTGCACTGGGAAATGACAGCTGAGAAGTTAAAGACGGAATTTGACTGTCCACTGAAGTAATTTCACAGCAAGACAGTTGGTGCACCCGCTACTGTCAAAGTGAACCTGTCACCAGCTTTAAATGTTTAATTGGCTTCCTTACTACACCACAGTCTTTCATTTTTTAGCAAGAAAGTCTACAGTGGATATAAAACGTCTACCCACCCCTGTTAAAATGTCAGGTTATTGTGATGACACAAATGAGACAAAGACAAATAATTTCAGAACTTTTTCCACCTTTAATGTGACCTATAAACTGTACAACTCAATTGAAAAACAAACTGAAATCTTTTAGGGTGGGGGGGAAGTAAACATACAAAAACTAAAATAATGTGGTTGTATAATTGTGCATACCCTCTTATAACTGGGGATGTAGTGGTGTTCAGAATTAAGCAATCACATTAAAAATCATGTTAAATAGGAGTCAGTACACACCTGCCATCATTCAAAGTGCCTCTGATTAACCCCAAATTAAGTTCAGCCGTTCTAGAAGGTGTCTCCTGACATTTTCTTAGTCGCATCCTACAGCAAAAGCCATGGTCCGCAGACAGCTTCCAAAACATCAGAGGGACCTCATTGTTAAAAGGTATCACTCAGGAGAAGGGTAAAAAAAAGAATTTCCAAGGCATTAGATATACCATGGAACACAGTGAAGACAGTCATCGTCAAGTGGAGAAAATATGGCGCAACAGTGACATTACCAAGAACTGGACGTCCCTCCAAATTTGATGAAAAGACGAGAGGAAAACTGGTCTGGAAGGCTGCCAAGAGGCCTACAGTAACATTAAAGGAGCTGCAGGAATATCTGGCAAGCACTGGCTGTGTGGTACATGTAACAATCATCTCCTATATTCTTCATATGTCTGGGCTATGGGGTAGAGTGGCAAGATGAAAGTCTGTTCTTACGAAGGAAAACATCCAATCCCAGCTAAATTTTGCAAAAACACATCTGAAGTCTCCCAAAAGCATGTGGGAAAATGTGTTATGGTCTGATGAAACCAAGGTTGAATTGTTTGGCCATAATTCCAAAAGATATGTTTTGCGCAAAAAAAAAAAAACAACACTGCACATCACCAAAAGAATACCATACCCACAGTGAAGCATGGTGGTGACAGCATCATGCTGTGGGGCTGTTTTTTCTTCAGCTGGAACTGGGGCCTTAGTCAAGGTAGAGGGAATTAAGAACAGTTCCAAATACCAGTCAATATTAGCACAAAACCTTCAGGCTTCTGCCAGAAAGCTGAATATGAAGAACTTCATCTTTCAGCATGACAACGACCCAAAGCATACATCCAAATCAAGAAAAGAACGGCTTCACCAGAAGAAGATTAAAGTTTTGAAATAGCCCAGCCAGAGCCCAGACCTGAAAACAGTTTATAGGTTACATTGAAGATGAAAAAAGTTCTGAAATTATTTATCTTTGTCCCATTTCTTTACATCACAGAAACCTGACATTTTAACGGGTGTGTAGACTTTTTATATCCACTGTATGACATCTCTGATCATTCCTTTTGTAATGTCCTTGACCAATCTTGCTTAAAAGGGTCCCCTACCTGTCATCCTCCTGTCCAGTATATGAAGGGCCAATAACCAAAAATGGTAGATTTCAATGCAGTAGAGCTTGAATACTGCTTTCAACTCCACTGGGGTTCTTGTATGAAATTGGCGTTGGGCACATTCGCAAGTATGAGCGCGCACCTTTAAGGCTTAGATTACAGGTAGGGCTTGGATAGAGCATTTCCTTGCTAAAATTGCTCCAAAAGCTACCAATGCTGATCTCCCAATGCTGAAAGCTAATGGATCCTACTGCTATAGAGTGGGATGGAGGATTGGTTGGGCTTAGGCATTTAGACTCCTGGCAAATTCAAAGTACACTGCTGCATAGCTGGTGCAATCACCTAATATGTTGGCAGTATTATCTTGTCATAGAAGTCCATGTACCAATATCTACATCTTTATATCGATTATCTTTCAGAAAATCATTGATATGCTTCTTAATTCAGATTTATTTATTTGTAAGCAATTTTGCTAACGATAGAGAAGCTGTAACAAAGAAAAAGGGCAGTGCCCAATATTACTAGTGTTGTGCCTTCCAATAACACAAATTATGCAAACAACACAGTTCTTATTTTAGTAAATGAGGCTCGTGTATAAAGAAATTAAGAGGCACGATGAGACTTCCGCATGCTGTTTAAGAGAATCGTTTAAAAAAAATGTTACTGCTTTACCAGGTCCTAGCTGGCATGGTATTCTCAGCATTGGGTGGAATCATTCTTTATTTCTCTGCAATTACCTTACAAGGCAGAATTACTGTTTGTGGCTTCCGGACTGGGCATTGGCTATTATTAACCAAATCCAACATAAAGTGTGAGAAAAAGAAAGCAATGGTGAAAAGTTGATGGAATAAAGAAAATGGGAGACCATGTCTTGGATGTGGCCAATTAGCTGAAACAGCTTCAGACCCAGCAACCTTGTACAATGAAAGGTAAGACAGGACAGTGCTCATAACCTATGCACTACCTACAAAGAACAATGTGAAATAAAGACATACACGCCTCCACAAACACAGCAGAGAAGAAGGGGCCACCTCCACCATGTTTAAATCCTAGTAGAGAGAACCACACACAAACAGAGATGCAGATACCAATTGCTGTCCAAGTACAGACATACCTGATTGTATTTGGCATTTGCAATGTGCTTTGTTTCTAGTTTTCCATATTGTGGAGGTTTACATGAGAACTGTACAAATGCACATAACTGATCAAAGATTGCAGGATACATTATCTGCATATTTTCAGGTCCCACACAAATAGCCTGTAATAACAAAAAAGTCACATATAAGACACGAGTTAAAGCAAGCTGAATAGAAATCACAATCCCTTCTTAGCAAATCACGTGATGAAATGATGAATGTCTTGCTTTTTTTTTTTTTTATAGTACTGTGAACAATTTAGGCTTAATGTGTACAGGCATCAATCGCACACAGCTTGACTCACAGAACATTTATCTATGTTGGTGCCTGTCAGCAGGTGCCGGATAACTCATCTCTGCAGTGAGTGGATGTATGTACACACACACTGGGGCAAATTGATAAAAAGAATGCTGCAGGCAAAAATTCTTGATCTCAACAGCAACCAATCAGCTTCCAGCTGTCCTCTCTGTAGTCCTTGTATGAAGATGAAGCAAGGATTTTTATTGCATGCTATGAGCAAAAAAGAGTTTTTTGTGTACGTAATTTTCATATATCAGCTCCACTGTGTGTCACTGCTGGGATGAAATTCAGCAGAAACAAACTGAATATAGTTTTATTTCAACATAGAACTATGACTATCATGGGAACATTAGATAGTAGGCTTGTTTGAGGAAAGGACTAATGGGAATGGTTCTACAACCAAGTCCCCTGGGAGGAGTGAAACACATCTGAATGTAGGACAATGAAATGGGATGTAGGCTCAGATTTAACATTGAATTGTCATATGAATGCTGCAGCTTTCATTTTTCATACACTATATAGCATTGCTGATTTTGCCTGTGCTATAAAAATAATTAAAATACATAGTTATTAACACAAAAAATGCCCATAATACTTCCAGTAATACGCCTACACATAAATAAAAAATACCATTACAAATAAACAGTGACATGCTACTATAACAGTAAAATGGTAAAAAGTATTTCATTTGTTTATGTCTAGATGCCAACGGCCAAAAAATAGAGACTTCTAAAAATAGGACATTTGTACTCGCCCTATAATCTGTTTCTCTGAGGGACCCAGCTTGATAGGTATGCAACCTAGGGTTATACTGACGTCTACAGCAGAAATGGACACTAGGCACAAGAACCTTTGAGGTTATAAACCCTTTCACCTCCTACCTACTCAGTTGTAGCAAACGGTTCAAAGAAAAAAAACAAAGGCATACAAGGGGAGAGAGCTGTGTTCCTCAGTGCAGAGTTTACGGTGAGGAAAAAAAAAATCCTCTCTCTGTCAGCCATCGGGAGACAAAGCTTTATAATAATTACGCAATCTAGCAGTTCAAAAACAAAGGAAAAGAAGGCAATTGAGGACATTAAACAACCACTTCATGAAAACTGACATCTACTGAGGCATACATATCAGCCCTACAGAACTTAGAGAAGGGAAGTACAAAATATTAGGTCGTAGCTGCACAGATCTGATGACGAAAAAGCCCAAGAAGCACTGGCTGTTGAGGAAGAGGGCGCTGAAACAGGAAAAGGAAACACTTTACATTTCAATTCACAGACTTACACAACCACCTGATAAATCCATGCAGAAACAGTGGAACTGGAAGCCAGAGAACCATTTTTAGAACCTTCTGTAATACCAGCGAATCCATCTGTATAAAAGAAGCAGTGGCCAAGAAGTACACTGACGGCCCTTACCACAACCTGGCACTAGATAGAAATTTCCCTGGGGTTAACCGGTGTTGGATACAGGGACGATAACACAATATATACATGAATGTGAATAGTAGAGACTACTACAGTAAAAAGGTTTGCTTGGTCTCAAAGCAAAAATGTATTTTATAAGTTCAAATGGGACTCCTTACAGGACAACAATGATAACTCTGAAATCAATCTGGCCCAAGAGATGGCCACAATAAGGCTACCGGACAGGTTAGAAAAGTCACATATAGGTTAGAATAGGGATCTCTGTAACACTGGCGATGCTAGATTTAAAGTGTTACTAAACCCAGGATCCTGCATTCACTATATCTGGTCTCCCACAGTACACAGAACATGGAAATGCAATTATTGTAGTAAATATATAAACTGCTAAATATCTTTTCCCATCAGCAGTTAGAGAAGTCCTGTGACTTCATCAGTGTTCAGCAGAGTACTGGCTAAAGCTTGTAGGAGTTTACTTTCTGTTCTAGGAGGATGCAGAACCCCTGACCTCTTTCTGGACATGTGCTGTGCTGATCACATGCATTCTCCCAGGAAAAAAAAACCCTCTATAGTAATACACACCAAAGTGAGCATGTACAGAGTGTCTCCACACAATATATCTTATCAGGAGATAAGAGGGGGACACTGGGAGAAGGGGAGGATCAGAGAAGTCAGGATCAAACAGCCTATTTACACAATGCAGAGGATTCACCCCTTAGGTTCCACAGTGAATATATCAACCATGCTTTACTGCATATACAGACTGATTTTACTGTCGTGGGTTTAGTAACACTTTAAATCCCACTGTTGAAGTGGAGGACTAACAGTGGGGGCAACGAATGCAACCGCTTGTATATAGGTACAAATGAGCAAATGGTTAGCAAGAGGACACTGGAAAGGAACAGGCAATGACGACACCTGACCTTTGATGGTGTTAATGGTCAAATGTTGTTCTACCCACAACGAGACAACTAAAAATCTTGTAGGGAAACCTCTACAGACTCACACCTGTGAAAAAAGGTTTACTGGAAATAGATTAACGAGCCTGGAGGACGATCAGGATAATTTAATCCAAAATGCCTATGTCTCTCAAAACTTGGGTTTCAAAAACCAGAATGCAAAAGCCAGCAACCAAGAAACAAGATTGGTCCTTGAGATAACAAATCTTGTGGATCTGGTACAGATAAGAGAATTACCAAACCGTTAAACCAGGTCGGCCTCTGGAATGGGTTCTGCCTTAACTCTTTAAAGTAGAAGAGGTGCAATGGAGGAAATGCGTGGATCAGGGTATACTGATCCCACACATCCACCAAGACATCTGCTGCAGGGGCTGTTGGATCCCACATCCAGCAGACAAATCTGCCCAGTGGCTTGCCAAACCAAAAAAACTAACAGATCCAGATCCAGCATCCCCTAAATCAGTTATATGTCCCAGAACACCTCCTGATGGAAAGACCAATCTTCTAAAGACAGTACCAGTAGGGGTGTGTGTGGGGGGGGATAATCTCAAGGGGGCTGGCCTACAGCCTTCTTGTCTATTGCTCCTATATGTAGCAGTATACCCTTAGGTTGCCCGATTATCACCAGGCTGTTTCCCTCAATGGACAATAGCGAAAAGCTATTATTCTATAGCCATGCACTGTAATTAAAGTACACATTACAAATTATAAAGTTATAAAAAGCTGGCACTATGAATGCAGTGGTTCTATGCAATATTCTCCTGAAACGTAGCATAATAAATCAGTGAAAAAAAGGTTAAAGCATGCCTAGGCTTCAAATATATCTTTGTAATGTTCCTCAGGGTGTGTCAAACTGGCACCTTCAAAAGCCTGTATATAGGTTTTCAGCTTTCACGGAATTGTAGAGAAAACCTAAGCCTATGCCATGCCAATCTTGACTTCTTGGAGGAAATACAAGAGCTGGTTTGCACTGTACCTTGTTATTGACTAGCCAAGTCTATCCCAGTTAGCATAGCAAAGTGTAGGCCAGCTTTCAACCTTTCTTTCTGAAGAAGTCAAAACTAGCATACTTGAGTTTGTTCGGTTTAGTGCTCCAGGGACGCTCTGCATAGAAAATAGTCAGCTTCCAGTTTGTTTTTTTTTGTCAAAGCTTAATTGAACAAGCTGCAGTTAGAAGTCGGCTGGCTACCATGCACAGCTGCACCAGATTTTACACTTGCATGCTAAAACTCCCAGAAAGAAGTTAACATTTTAAAGCAATGTCCATTTTTCACCGCCTGCTACTGGTTTATCCCACAATTTCTTTTTGTGAACTTCCCGCTATAACAGTATCAATGTTCCTGTCTTGTGCTATTTAAAGTTAAAATATTTTTTAAATCTTTGTGACAGAATGTCTCTATGAAAAAAATAATAAATGAAAGCAACCACATCAAATGAAAAAACTCATCAACTGCTAGAACAGTGGCTAAGTAGTTATCAGCCTTATGTAAACAAAAACATGTACATTGTACATCTGGTCTGGGAAGAATTACCGTAATTTGGTCCAGGCTGAGATGTGGTTTGTCCTTCAGCCTCAGTCCATTCATGTACATGTCCTGAATTAGCAAATTGGAACAATGCACTGTAATTAGCGTTCTAAATGCATCCAATTATGAATCTAACAGTGCCAAGAATCAATCACATATAGCCAATACTATTTTATATTAGATACAGCTTTGGTAGGATCTATGAAACACTGAAACAATTGTTAAAAGATTCAACCTCATACAATTCCCTTAATCCACAAAACTTAATTAATAATTTTTATGTTTCTTTTCTAGGCATTATAAAATAAATACTATACATAACTTTGTCCTTCAGCTTCAGATAATCTAATATTTTTTTGGTGCTAAGCCATTTGTAAACGGAAATGCCAAATGAAATGAAAGGCAGATGGGTCCAATAGTCACCTTTTGTAGGACATCCAAAGCTGTAAGCACAGATTCCTGCAGGCTTGTCAACACTGCTTCAGTATAAGAGGGGAGGATGAAAGGCGAGGCATCTGAGCTTATAGGCACTGACACAGCCCCATGTAATATGACCCCAAGCTTTTGTAGCTCATCCATATTAAAAGCAGTTTTGATGTGATGATAAAGAGCTGGGAAAATCTGAATTAAAGCTGTGAGGAAAGGCTGACTTGGAATGAATGTCAGTTTGTCACATGTAGCGGGTGGCTTTGTACTTTCCGTACCAATCCTGTACCAGGTGTTCCAGGCTGCCCACCACAGAGCTGAGTCTTCAATCTCATCCATAGCTATAGGTTGCTCAATGTTATATCTTGCAAGTCTTTCTCCTGTCGAGTCAGCTCTCATCAATGGTCTTCCTGGTCCAGAAGCACTTACTGGCCCAATAAGAGCAGGAACAGTTACTGAGATACCAGGAAGGGATTCTGGCTTATCCATTTCTCTAGTCGGGCTCACAATCTGTAGAATTTCCTGAAAGCTTTTAAGAGCCGCTAAGGAGACTTCATTGTTTTTGCTAAGAGCAGCTGACTGAATGTGATCCAGAAGAACATCCCATGCGTTTGAAAAGTCACCTGCATTATAAATAAAAGCAAAGCAGTTTAAACAAACACCAACTGTATATGTGAACACTGCCAAGTACAAGTTTACATTTTCCAAATTTCCACATAGAGGCTCAGGTATGATTTCATAAGAGATCTGGAGAACATGATCGGGGAACACTGCTATAGGTATTAAAAATAATTTCCATTGATCTGCATTTCGCACATGCGCTGTTTCATATCAGATCATAGAAAGAACAAAGGTCCCTCAAGATACTGGTCTTACAACACAGATTTTTATTAGTCAGATAGTCAGACAGGACTGAAAACTATAGCAGAGACACTTTTTTTTGTTAAAGCTGCACAGGAAATCTAAATTGGCCTCAAACATTTTTTTTTTTTTACAAATTTTAGGGTGCTGCTAAGCCTAACAACCTTTTCACCTAGATCCTTTCTAGGTGCAGAAACCTTACATGATATAATAAAAATAGACCAGCACAAAAACAGCATTTTTGCCTCCTGCTGGTAAAAATGCCAGATCACACACTTGCCCAAGGCTCAAAATGATTAACTTGATCTTGTGTGCCTATTGCATATAATGGATGGGCTGCATTCTGAGAGTTGAAAATGCCCCAGGCACTGCAAGCAAATGCATTCTATCTCTGCATGCTTATAACATAAGGCCCCTTTCACACAGGCATTCCATTTGTCATCCCTTCGTAGATGGACGAAAAACAGGGAGCAATGCATTCCTATGGGCAAATGGATGTAAACAGACGTCATTTGTTTACATCCATTTTTTTGTCCATTTCCATTCAGGCCCATTTTTTTTTTAAATGGAACAAATTTCAGTCATTCCATTATTTAATAACTGACACTTAATAGCATTTTTGTACTTTCCTTAAAATCCATTCAGGAACACATGTATTTTTAGACTGTTGGGTTATACAGCCGTCTACAGGAGAAATGAACAGTGGCAAAAAAAAAAATGTCCAGCACATGATAACACTGCTCACAACCACTATGCCTTAGTGTGTAGTAAAACTGTACTGAGAGTGAGAAACAAACACAAAGGAGAGGGACCTGTGTTCCTCAGTGGGCCATAAAAAAGAATTCTATTTTCTTTCCCATCCAATAAGGGACACAGGAATTCTTACACTGTCAGATTATCTAAAAGCAGTCTAACAAAGGGATGAGTAACATAGCAAGCAAGGTTAGGAGGCCCAAGAAAAAAAAAAAAGCATAAAAAAAAAGTGAAGGCTGCCTGCAGCTCAAACAGTCACCCGATCCCTGAAGCTGGCATTAGGGGAGGCCTGAAATCTACCTTAGAAAATAAAAATAAATAAGACAACAAAGGGTATATTCTATTTGGTGTACCGGAGACCAAGGGTTTGGGAAATCAATGTCATGGTTGAGGTGAAATGTAGAACATGTCTAAATCAAAGAGTGAAAGACCAACAGTCTCTGAAAAAATATAGACTATATAGAAAAATGTCTCTTGAAAGTGCTGAGAGCCAAACACTGGTCCAGACCTAGCTGCAGGAAGGACAGGATCCGTCTCACGGGGAAAGTCCTAGGGTTGAAGACCTGGCTCCTACACAAAGTGAAGTAAGCTTTCCATGTCCACCGATAGACCTTGCAGGAAGTCACAAAGATTCAGAGATTCTTTGGACTGAAAAAAAAAATGGAGCTGCAACAGCCATGCCATTAAAGCCAGAGTTCATAAAGACTGTGCTGCTAAAACCATTGACTGTGACAATCCTGATGATCTGGTAAAGCCCAAAGAAGTCTTACCAGGCTGGCATACCATATCTGCCTTAGCCAGTCTGGAGCAATGAGGATTTCTGGAATTCTCTCCAATTCAATCTTGCAAAGCAGATTAAGTAAGGAAATACACTGATCAGTGTGTATTTATCCCATAGACCCACCAGAACATCTGCTGCTTCTGCCATAGGAACCCTGTACCTGGAGATTAAACCATCCTAAAGAAATACTATCTTGAATCGATCCAAAGAGACATTGTCCCTCAATGTCCATGTGGGACAAGCGCTTTCTACACAAAAATTACACAGTTAAGCACTTTGTCCAAGGTGTGCATGCATGCATGCTGACAGAACATCCATGTAAAAGAAAACTGAGAGGCTTTTAGCAGAATGACGCAGTTGAGTTACAGTTACAGCCATTTGTACAGGCGTAGTATAAGCAAGGTTTCAATCACAGTAGCAGAGATGTTGTTAAAAGAGGTTTTGGTAAAGCTGGCCATAGATGGATCAAAATTTGGCCGGTTCAGCAGAGACTGGATTTCGATCCATGTATGGTCATCTCTGTTCGACAGAAGTCAAATATTAGATTGACTTCGGAATGGGAATGTTGGAAAACTTTTGTCAATCAGCGGCTGCAGCCACTGATTGATGTATTCTGACAGAGGAGGAGTTCCGCTGTCAGAATACAATGTCCCAGCAGGCAGGAGTCCTCTATCCACCTTGCTTGTGTGGATGGAAGAATCCATTCATATCTTTTCGATCAGCAAGGGAGTCATTAATGGACACCTTTATCCAATAACTAAACTGACCACCGAAATATGGGGAAACCAAATTCTCAGATTTGGGCAATATTGGTCTGACCGATTCTCCCTTTGGAGACAGCAAGGAGTCCACATCAAATAATGGTTCCACAGAGGAATTTTGACTGAAACAGCGAAGTCCACCATATGTCTGTTGGATTTAGTAGAGGGGGGGAAACAGCCAAAGTGACCCATGGGTCAGCAGTGGTCCCCGGCAGATAGCTACAGCAGACCACAAGCAGCCTCCTTCATGACAAAAGCCAAGTGTTACCAAGTCCTGCGGTGCACTTGCATATGCATAGCAACCCACTTTTACTCAACAGAGACAAAGTGAAGATCAAGCAAAGAAATTTTAAGTAATTGCAAAACTTTAAAATAGTTTTTCATTAAAATAACAAACATGTTATACTTACCTGCTCTGTGCAATGGTTTTGCACAAAGCAGCCCTGATCCTCCTCTTCTGAGCTCACCCAGAGACTTAACAAATCAAACAAAGCAATTTTAACAAATCTGGCATGAATTTATCAGCAGAAAAGTCTTCTGAATGAATAGAGAAGAAAACTCTTCTACTCTCCTAAGAACACTATCAAAAAACTGAGGAATAATGGCTGTGGGTAGGGTTATTACATAGTTACATAGTTAGTCTGGCTGAAAAAAGACAAAAGACCATCCAGTTAAAAAAAAAAAAAAAAAGTTATAATCCCATACCCACAAATGATCCAGAGGCAGGCAAAAAAAAACCCAGCAAAGCATGATCCAATTTGCTCCTTATTATTATGTGCTCATAAACATTTTTTCTTTTTTTATTCTCCAGTGCCAGTTTCTCCTGTAGGAGGCTGTATAAACCAACAGTATAGGAGTTTGTGTGTCCCTCAATACACAAGAACGAAAGTAAGACTTTTGAACATTACAGAATCAAAATAAGTAATATAAAAAAGACTGACAAAAAATTAACATAAGACATTAGATATTAGATAACTGTAGAACATATGTTACCGGGATGACTGTAAACTTCCACGATATGAGCAGTTCATCAACTTTCCTCTCTGAAATCATGGTAATGGTACTTTAACATGTGAGGGGTGGCTATAAAAAAAATGACTGCTTCCCAAATCCTCTCTCCCAACCTTCTGAAAAGCACTGTGCAAAGTCCTGACTACTTCAAAATATTTTCTTTCCCTTTCCCAGAGTACAAAGTACTGCTGTACAGTGGTTTACAAGTGGCTGATATAAATACAGATTTAAAGGAGAAGTATAGCCAAATCTATTTAGACTATAGTTCTCCTGTAGTTCACAGGAGTGCAGCTCGTTCTGTATCCTGTTTTCAGCTGACAGCGGGTTAAAATCCGCTGTCAACTGATGTCACTCAGTCGCCTGGACTGGCACCTGGCTCAGCCTCTCAGTGGTCTGCTGAGAGGCTGAGCCAGCCCCTCCTGCCACCTCCAGAGCCCAGCGCTCATGGAGCAGAATAACAGTCACAGCTCTCTTCTCAGAGCGGAGGGGGAGAACTGAGCAATCAGCTGTGTTTGATCGCTCAGTTTTCGCTGCACAGCCGGTGGGGGACAGGTGCAGCATCAGATCAATGCTGCATCCACCTAGGTCAGTATAAATGGGAAGTACATACTTCTTTTTTAAGTATGAATAACTATATGTAAAAACACATTAAGGATTAAGGCATGTTTTATTGAATGCACAACTGAATGGCATTTTTAAATATGCACCTACAGTATATCTTTAACAAAGACAGTGAATGAGTACTTTACCTAAAGGCTGCAGCAAGTATCTCCTAGTGTTAAATATTCGGGCGACACCAGCTAGTGTTAGTACCCATGTCTCAGCCCACTGCTTCTCTGCGGTGTCCCTGGAGTGATGAATAAGGATGTTGCCACCTCCTGATTCAATTTTCTCTTTATCAGCTGTTGTAGAAGATTCTCGTACTTGATCTAATAGGTGGAACAGTACCTAAAGCAGTTAAAAAGAAGTATCAAGGTCTGGTCTTTCCCAACATCTGTATATTACAATTACATCCTTATATTGTTTTTTCACATTTTTAAGAAAATATTAGAGACAAAGTATGTACATTCCATTTGTCTATACCTTCCAAATAACAGTGTGCCAGGTTGGATGCTGCAGCAAAGTTCCATGTGCCCCTATTGTGGAGAACAAGGTCTGGCCAGCACTCTTCCTGACAGCAGGGCGCGTGTCAACACACAGCTCCCCTAGCTTGGCATACAGACACAGCCAAAGGCAATCAAATGGTGGTGCCGGGTGGAAAGGCCGGTTTAGAGTCACTCCTTTTTCTTTTGCCTGCATCTGAAGCATATCTTCTTCTCTGTTGAGTTCTTTTTCTATATTTTCTCCTCGTTGGAAGAAGTAATCAGAAATATTCCACTGTTTAAAAAGAAATACTCTTTTATCAAATAAATACACTTAGTTAATATAGGTAACATACTGTAGAAAACAACCTATTTTGAGGTTCACACTAAATCTTTTTTAGGTACTCAGGCCTCAATTCTGCAAGCATCACCTATGCAATATAGGTGACTTAAAGAGTGGTATAACAATATATAACCTTTATATTTCTGTGCGTCACTGCCTAACCACATGAAGAATATTTGAAATCTACCTAAAATATGTACTTTTTTAGCACTTCAAAATGAAAACAAATAAAGAAGACATTAAAGGCTAAGTTCATCTTTTTAAAAAAAAAATATACATTTGCAGGTAAAAAAAATGTGTATTTATTATTCATTTTCTCAGAAGCGTGCAGAAGCATTGCATCCGTGATCAGTGGATCATAGATGTAATATGTCTGGCTCCGGCATTCTCTTCATACAGTTCTTTGCCTGCGTACCTCCATATGGGCTGTCAGTTTCAGAGCTGCAGGAAGAGTGAATGGACTAGGAAGACAGAAGTCATCAGCAGTGGAGACATAACTTGTAGTTCATTCATTCTCTTTGAATAAATTACATGTCTATGCAGGTAGAGCCCCACACAGCTGTGTGCTTGTCACAGGAGAGTCTCAGGGCATGTATAGCAACATTTTACATATACATGTTAATTACAGAAGTAACATGTTTCATGTTATGTACTAAAGGTGAACCCAGCCTTTAAAGTGAACCTGTTGGCTCATCTTTCCTTGTAAATAGGCACCAGGTATTTACTGTCTATTTGTGCTGACCACAAGAAAAAGCTCTGTGCAAAAACACCAAGGAAGATCTCTAACAGAAGACAAAAAAAAAACGTAACTCGAAGATGCTTTTGCCTGGCCTCCTGCAACATCTTATAGAGTAAACCTGGGTCCTCGTTGCCCACGGAGATCATGGTCCGGTTTTACCTGATTTAAGTAGCTTTACTTTGCAATTTGCTTGTTGAATGTATATCTGCAAGTCTTATACTATTTTCCCTAGAACTGTAAAAGTTTCTATGTACAGCATTTTTATTTTGTATAAGCACATTAATACACTACAGAGATCTAAGCTTTCTTGACCACAAAGTAACCTCACTAGACAAACGGCATTGTAATTCTGAATGTAGCATCTTGATTAAACAAAGGGTAATTTACCAGCAGGCACAGAGGTCTATGTAAAGAAACTCACAAATAGAAACTGTGCAGCAATTTGAAGTGGCAGCATTAGCAAATACAGCTACTACTGTGCCTATTGGTAGCATATGTGGCTCAAAGAAACCACACTCTAAATTATTAAGGGAAGACTAGGACCTAGTCCTAGCAGTTCCCCACACAAGCTGGTAGCCTCATGTTACCTCAATCTCCCCAGATATATATCCGCGGTGTGCACTCTGTGCTATTGCTGATCTGTCAGTGTGGACAGCGACTGCTCTAGCCTTCCCCGAGACACCATATGCCCAGCCTGTTTTTGCAATTAGCTCCAGGCAGGGAGAAGACGAACTGATAGATCTTTCTTCCAGCAACTACAGCATACAAGAGGGATTCCAGGTGGCTCATGCTCGGCTTGAGAGTACTGATGGGCTTAAAAAAGGTGTATTTTTGTAAGTACATTTTATTTTATAAAAAAAATCTGATCTATGTAATCGGGAAAGGAGAGCACCTGACCAGTGGTGTACCTGACTACTCTGTCCACTGAGCATTTGCAGCTAGACTCGGTCAGTAGGTTTCAGGAAGGACTTACAGGTACTCAAATGTCCCTCTGTAAGGCTGTAAATTGTCAAATAGAAAAAAAAATTCTCATATGTCTGTAGCCAGGTTTACTCATAAATACCACATAGGTTGTACCTGTGACCAAACCTGCATACAGTAGATCATCATTCATAAGGATATAAAGGTCAACAGACTCACCAACAAGCCAATAGACGTTAAACTAATATTAAGTTCTTGATTCTGGAGTCCAAAGCTTCCAGCTACTTCTACAACTATCTGCAAACACGTGCAAGGCATTGTGGGAAGAAAGTCTGTCACGACCAATTGAAGGCACTGGAAAGCAGTCCGTATTAAAGACTCCCTACAAAGAGATAAATGCACCACATTACAAATGATAATGAGCAGAGTGACCTGACATGAGGGCAATGTTCTCCGCACTCACCCTTGATCGTTTCTTATTGCTCCTATAACTCCGAGAACCAGAGGCCAACCTGGTCCCAGACTGTCTCCTTGATTCTGCAAGATCTGTAATACACACTCCAGTTGTTTGAGGCGGATGTCATGATGAGCTATGGCTGACAGCTCCTTCAAAGGATTTAATAACAGCAACTGCAATCTCTAGAAAACAAAAGCTAAAAAAATCAGCACTACATAGAAATAGGCTTCATGCACACAGGGTGTTTGCTTTTTTTCTCTGAATGCCAGAACTCATGGCAGGAGAAAAGCTACTTAAAAATACACCTAAAGCTGTGTGTTGCACACATGTTTAGGCACACCAAGTGTTTGAATGTTAATGGATCACATTGTTCATTGCCATTTATTTTGGCCACTGAAATACATTAGCGCTCAAAAGCGCCTAAACTTGTCAAGTGCTTAGATGCATTTAGGCATGTTCTGCTCTTCAGCTCTTCTCCTGAGAGGGGTTTTAATGTTCTTTTTTCAGCCTGTAAATGCTCCTCTTCTAATATGCCTGTAAACCCTATGTGTGATTAGGCACATAGGCTAACATAGAGGTGCTTTAACATGATGAAAAAATATATGCCAAACACCTTTAAATGTAGCTTTTATTAAGCCCATTGTGCACAAGGCCTTAGCTGTATTTTCAGAATGTAAACAGCTGGTAACAAAAAAAAAAATAAAACAACTCACAAAGGAGAAAGACAACAAAGAGTTTGGACTTTCTCCAGATATTTTGTCTTGCTTTTCTGTGCAGAGGCTTGCATTCACAGCTTCATTAAGAGAACCATCATATTTTCTATTACATGTTTTGTGTGTACCTTCATAGAGTAGATTTTGTTTTCTATGTAATAGTTTTCTTTAAAGGAGAACAAAGACTGGAGTAGCCTTGTTAGGTCTTTGTCATGTGAGAATGCTCCTCTTGTATCTCCACTTTAGCTTGCTGCTCACTGTTCATTATAATGGCACAATATTTGTAGTGGACACAGAAACTGCAGCTCTGGCACAGGTACACGGTAATTCTAGTTGTGGTTTTAGGAGATCAGCTAATAGTCATATTAGCAGCTCTTCCATATTCAGTGAGTGAAGCTGGTCAAACACTCACTGAATTTCTTTCAGTCAGCCCACAGATTCCTTCAACCAATAGATGGACAAACCTGTAGTTTCAGCTATTTTATTCTGACAGCCGACACCCACGGCTGTCAGAATACTTATTTATTTTATTCATTATAGACAATTATACAGCACTTTCAATTTACGCATTGCATCACATACACAGTATGCTATACATTCACATCAGTCCCTGCCCTCAAGGAGATTACAGTCTAAGAATACACGAACAGTGCCTGCATCTGCATAAAACATACAATCACTTCCAGCGCTCAGAGCTCTGCCACAGCCACAGTGTACAGTGGACCATAGATGGCAAAGTTTGCATGGAAACTCACAAAGGTGGAAGATATAAAAAGGTGCAACACATCAAGAGACACATCCAATCTAGGAATCACGTAACCTGACTATGCTGGCGATCTGACGTGTTTCAGGGGTGCACCCCCTTTCTCAGAGATCTGAAGGGTAAGCACCCCCAAAACCCATCCGAAAGCCAGCATAGCAGTCAAGTTCCGCAATTCCTGGATTGGATGTGTCTCTTGATGCATTACATGTTTTTATATCTTCCACCTTTGTGAGTATCCATTTGTCTACATTTTTGCTTTCCAATTAATCTCTGATAATGCACCAGGCATTTGTGCCCTCCTGTGTGTTATTTTGCAGTGCCTGCATCTGTCTGGATGCAGACACTGTTTGGCTGACAATTTTCCACCTGGTTCCTCGAAACAAAAAGTCGAATTGAACGATCGACTTTCGTTGAGCTGGGTGGTACTGACGGGGGCACCCACGACTCAAATTTCAGACAATGCAGCAGAAATCGGCTAACATTCCAGTGTATGGCAGCCTTTATATTTAGAGATCTATATAGTTCTGATGTAAGAAGTTAAAAAAAAAAAAAAAAATTTAAGAAATGTGTTTTCTTTGACACTGGAAGCCTATTTATCCTTAAAACTTGTCATAAAGCACTATTTAAAATAGGTTTTAGAAAACATTTTACAGCTTTTGCAGGCTGTCAAACCTAATGTTCAGTAACAAGGCTGAGCATAGTTGATGGCTTTCCTGCCACATTTCAAACAGAGATTATCCGGAAAGTCCATCTGCCGACAGCTTGAAAGGTTCTGGCCAAAATCTGCAATTGAAACAAGCACATGAGGGTGTAATACTGTACCTGGTTTTGAGACAGTTCTGGCTCATGTTTAAAAGCCAGGCCTGATTTGATTAGTGATGTCAATGCTTCAGCTCCCCACTCTCTCATCCTGGAGTTCGGATGTTGGCAAACCTAGAAACAAGTAAAAAGGACATAGAAGTGTTTTTTGTTTTGGTCCATTGCTTATATTCTCCCACAAACCAAAAGCTCATGAAGCAAGCCTCGCCATAGCAGTTCCATAAAAACGTAATACAGCTGAACTCCATGCAGGTATAAAGACACAAATCAATGCAGTAATGTATTAAATAGAAACAAAAAAAATTGTTAAAGGGCCTGTTCACACCAAATTGCAGTGCGGGAAAGGTGCCTTTCAAAACGCGGGTGCAAATAAATTGTTAAAGGCACCCCAAACGCATCTCGAAAATGCAGCATGTGTGGTTTGGTGCAGTGTGCTCTTAGAAAGCAGTGCTTTCACAACTTTTTTAGTGTTCCATTGCATTTTGCAGCCCATTCAAAATTATTGCAAAACCGTACCCCGTTTGAACTAGCTTTAACTGTATTTTTAAATGAGCACAAGTATCTGAATCCTTCTTGATATAACCCTCCTGTAACTCCCTTGTACTGCAGAGCCTGCACTAGCAGCAGTTCATTCTCAAGTGTCTGGCTGTGTTGTCTGGCAGGAGTGGGTGAGGATTGGATCCCTTGCATGGTTTGCATTGCTCCCTTTGCCCCGGGGGGTGGGGAGTTACTAATTATTCCCAGTCCAAATTCGATAGGAAACATTCGAAAACGTAAACTTTTTAATAATGATATACATAGTTTTGAGTTATGAGTTTTAGTGCAACAAAGGTAATACAAGCAATACACATACAGAAGAATATTCAACACTCCACAGATGAAAAAAATACATGCATTAGGAAGCAACAAAGTGAATATGTATGGTTTATTTACTAAATCTTAAGGAAAGGTCTGGATATATTATCACCTAAAGTGCCCACACAAAACCGACAAGATATGACACTTTCTGGGTACTGAACAATGGTTAGGCAGTGTATAGACAGCACTGCATAGAGGACAAAGAGAAGGAAAAGGATTGTGAAAAAACATATATAGCCAATTGTATTCTCACAATGTTCCCTATCCAATGTACAGTGCATATTTTGAAAATAATTCAGTTAACATAAATGTATACTTAGACCTTGTTCACACCATACGTGTAGAAAATCTGATGGAAACCGGCATGCAGAGACGTCAGTTTATATCAGTTTTCATGCGCATTTCAATGAATATACATGTTGCAGATTCCTGCACAGAAAAAAATCTGCAACGTGATACTAGTGTTGTGGTGTGATCAGGGCACAAAGAGAACAACAGATTTTGTTGTGACCTTGCAGAATGCGTGCAGAAGAACTGACAACTCTGCACTGGTGTGAACAAGCTCTCAGACTGAATTTTGGCAGCATTTAAATGTTTTAGGTGATCTTAAGGGCTTGTTCACACCATGGTGCAGAGATATCAGTTATTCTGCACACGTGCTGCAAGGTCATAACAAAATAATTTTTTCTCTATGTGCCCTGTTCACGCCACAACACTAGTATCACATGCATATTTTGTCTGTGCAGGAATCTGCCACGTGTATAAAACTCATTGAGCCATGTGAAATCTGTGAGTCAGTTTCCATCAGTTTTTCTGCACATATGGCATGAACGAGGCCTTAAATGAAGCTGGAATCTGTTCTAACTATTTACACAGTGAAAGACAATCTGCCTAGCTAATAACACAAAATAGTGGCTTAGGTAAAAGGGATTTCAATAAAATTTATAAGTAAATATGCATATTTCAGCAAATTATCAGAACAGAGGGCATTATAAATGACAACTCAACACAGTAGCTGGAAGGGAATATTTTAACCTTTGGGTGTCACTCTGGAGCCACTTTTTGCCAAAAGCATCAACTACAGCAAACAAATGTTCACACAGCTAAGTATCCTAAATACCTAACCTAGTATCTTTATTTCTGTACAGATATGGATAATTTACATACCTAGTTGTAAACGTTATTAGCTTGCCCACATGATGTTGTTTTTCAAGTTTAGTGGTCCTTTAACTAGTTGCCGACCGCAGATAGCCGAATGACGGCTGTACTGCGGCCGGCCAGTTCTGGGTGGACGTCATATGACGTCCTCCCAGAACGCGCTCTCCTGCGCGCCCCAGGGGGCGCGCACCCGGCAATCTCCGTGATCGCTGTGTCCTACGGACACAGCTGATCACGTGATGTGGTAAAAGGCCAATCACAGCGGCCTTTTACCACGTGATCAGCCGTGTCCAATGACACGCTGATCACCGGAAATTCAAGTGCCGGTTCTCGGCTGCACTTTCCTCACGCTGTCAGCTCGTGAGGAAAGTACTGCCGAGAACCGGCAGTTGTCAGAGCAGGGATCGGCACCGATCATCAGGGCACTGATGATCAGTGCCCTGATGATCGGTGCCCAGCAGTGCCACCCACAAGTTCCGCCCAACCTGTGCCCAGCAGTGCGCCCACTAGCTCCGCCCACCTGTGCCCAGCAGTGCACCCACCTGTGCCCAGCAGTGCACCCACCTGTGCCACTCTGCAGTGTCACACACCTGTGCCCAGCAGTGCCACCCACCTGTGCCCACCAGTGCCACCCACCTGTGCCCACCAGTGCCACCCACCTGTGCCCACCCACCAGTGCTGCCCACCAGTGCCACCCACCAGTACAGCCCAGCAGTGCTGCCAGTCAGTGCCGCCAGTCAGTGCCACCAGTCAGTGCCCAGCAGTGATGCCAGTCAGTGCCGTCTATCAGTACCCATCATCAGTGTCACCTATCAGTGCCGCCTATCAGTGCTGCATATTAGTGCCGCCTATCCGTGACACCTCATTAGTGCTGCCTATCAGTGCCGCCTATCCGTGCCACCTCATTAGTACTGCCTATCAGTGCCCATCAGTGCCGCCTATCAGTGCCCATCAGTGCTGCCTCATCATCAACGCACATCAGTGAAGGAGAAAAATTACCTGTTTGAAAAATTTTATAATAGAAACAAAGAAACTTTTTTTTTTTTTTTAATTATTTGCAATTTTTTTGTTTATAGAGCAAAAAGTAAAGCGCCCAGTGGCGATTAAATACCACCAAATGAAAGCTCTATTTGTGAGAAAAACATGATGAAAATTTCATATGGGTACAATGTTGCATGACCGCGCAATTGTCAATCAAAGTGCGGCAGCGCTGAAAGCTGAAAATTGGCCTGGTAAATAAGGGGGTATGAGTGCCTGGTAGGCAAGTGGTTAAGCTTGCCATAAATATGATAATAGAAGTATAGAACATGCTGTCTGAATCCATCTGTCACTGCAATCTTATGCAATTACTACACAACCCTCCAAATTTTTTTACAGTATATACGATTTATCACATTAGCACACATATAGGGTTAATTTATCAAGGTCAGTCAGTAACAATTAAATGCCCAAGGTCACCGTAATCTTCACTAACATGCTTATATATTGGAAAAAAAAAATCATGCAGAACTAGTTTATGTCAGATGTACACAGTGAAAAAGAAGGAAAAGTCAAAAGTCAAAGATGATGCGCATGTGAAGCATGCCGTGCAAACGTACCTTCTGATCAGGTCAAGAGCAAGCACAGGAGAAAGATAGGACAGCCCATGAATACAGATAACAAGAAACAACATAACAACATGAAGGCATTGGAAGTTGAGTTACTAAAACTGGAAAGTGCAAAATCTGGTGCAACTGTGCATGGTAACCAATCAGCTTCTAACTTTAGCTTGTACAATTAAGCCTTGACAAAACAAAAAAAACCTGGAAGCCGATAGGTTTCTATGCAGAGCTGCACCAGATTTTTGCACTTTCCAGTTTTAGTAAATCAACCCCATAATGTACAATAGTGTATCCCTTGTGGTCTGAAACACAAGCAGAAATTTAAGCTAAATATTAATTACATTAATATTTACATTATCAACTAAAAGTAATCTCTCTGGACAGAAATAGTGAGCTGGTATTATGACCAAGGGTTGACATGCTGATCTTTTGCTACACTACATAGGGTCCTTTCACATAGGCGTTCAGTCAGTTTTTCAGGTTTAGCAAGGCTAAACCACAATGTATGTCTATGACCAGACTTCTGTTTACATTTGCTTACATAAGAGTCTGTTTACGTTCGCAGAAAAAAAAATGGAAAGGTTTGCATCTATTTTTGCAGACATAAACTGACGTAAACAGATGTTGCTCGCTTGCATCCATTCTTCAGCAAGGAACATATTTTTCATTCATACTTTTGTCTACCTATGATTTTTAATTTTTTTTTTTCAGCTTAAACAACAAACATGTGAAGTGAACTGAACTGAACTGAACCGAAGATGGATGTATAAACTGATGTAAAAGGATAGTTTTCATGTTTCTTTTTTAATCAGTTTTCATAAAGGAACTGATTGCACTCATGTGAAAGGACCCTTAGTGAGCCCATGATTTGGAACAAGCAACATGAAAGAAGAATGAGAATTACAGCCTCAGAGCTTGCATCTTCAAGTGCAAATTGGCAATGATAGCTACTATTATATATTTCCTGACAATTTTTTTTTAGCATTTTTAACATTACAACAATACGAAATAATAAAAGGGTCAATAGCAACCTAGTAGCTAACTTTTTTTCCAATTCATATTTTATCTACTTTGCTTTTTTGATACATAGCACCAATTACTGTGCAAAATAAAAAAGTGAACCCATATCCCTTAATTATTGTAGGTTATGTATGTGTATGTAATGTGCATATGTATAAAAAGATGTAGTAGGTACTCTCAGGACTACCAAAAAAGACTATAGGTAATCAGTTTTAATACACCAAAGTTTCAGAAACCCGAGGCTGTGACTCACCAAAATGTCAGTATAATAAAACTATATAGCATTTACTTATGGTCTCTTTTGCAAGTCCTGAGAGGTCCTACTACATCTTGTTCTATATATCTATACCTATGTGAAAAACCTAAGCAGTGCTTTTTTGATCGAGTGCTGATACCACCAATGCAGGACTCTCAGCAGTACAACACCATAAATACTCCTCAATGCGTCTTGTAACCAGAGACCAGGTAGTCTTTTGCTTTGACTTTCATTTAAAGGAAGCCAATTCATTATAGAATTCTGTGTTTATAGCACAAAAAAGCACTTTTTTACTGTGAATAATAATTCATAATGTAGGCACATGTTCAATTAATTGATATGAAGAGTGATTTTTATTGACAGATTCAAAGTGCGTAATCAGTTCCTAGTTTATGAACGTGCAATTTTTTGATATATATGATAATTTGTTGAAAGGTGTTCCGAAAGCTGAAATTTAAAGCGGTAGTAAACTGCACAAAAAAAAAAAAAAAAAAAAAAAACCAAATTGGGTCCCCCAGGCAGTTTAAGTCATAATGTGCTAGTATGCACCACATACTAGCACATTATGATAGACTTACCGGAACATGAAGCCTCCAGCAGAGGCCGAGCAGCAAAGATTGTCACTCCTGCACACTTGCGTGGAAGTCATGGCCAGCAGCAAAAGTCCATTCAGAGCCCAGTGTACATACACTGGTGATGTCACCAGCTGCTGCCAAAGTAAATATATCCTAAATTGTGAATGTTTAGGAGGTATTTACTGAACTTATAGGTAAGCCTTATTATAGGCTTGCCTTTAGGTAAAAATAAACCACGTGAGTTTACTACCACTTTAATAATTAGACAGGCATCAATAAAAAGACAAGCTACAGGGAAAAAGAAAGCATTGTTTACCTCTATTAAATGTCCTGTTAAAGGCCTCCATAGAATTTCGATCCTGTGCATGTTCACTAATCCGGTCTCCAGCAACTTGGCTACAGCAAAGAGGGATGGTTCCTACAATCAAACATCCAGCTTATGAAATGATTCTAGTCAAGCCTTTCTCAAATTGCTTAACACAAAGGAACCATTTAAATAGCATTGATATTTCAAGGAACCAGTTAATCATTATACCTGTAGCTCACGGGACATCAGTGCGAATAGTAAATTGTAGACACAAAAATAAATAAAATAATTAGGAACAGGGTGCACCTGCATATTTGAGGGCTTCTCTATATAAGAATATTCTTTCAGTATTAATAAGGAAATAAAACAAATATCAATAGCATCCAGAAAAACAAAAATGCAGACAGTGAAAAATGTGGTGCTAGCTTGCATTTAGGGGAGTTCAGTGAAAAAGTGGCCCCTTACATTGATGGTTAGTGGAGATGTATCCTGCTAGACCAGTGGTCAGTGAAGAGCCCTACTTCACAGAGTGTTAGTGGGAAGAATGCTCCTTACATTGGCGGTAAGTATGAAGAATGCCCCCTTAAAAACGCCTAATAATATCATTGTGGCCAGACATTGCCCATTGCTTTAGGAAACGTTAGTAGCCTCTGAAGGAACCCTGGGGTTCCACAGAACCCTGGCTGAGAAAGGCTGTTCTAGTCTGACACTGAAAAGATTAAAAGCACATTAAGCCCACTCAGAATTTATTTCTCACTGATCTGATTACAGTACATTAAAAGCTAGTTGATTTGACTCAACTTCAACTCATCATTGCTTTACAACTGCTCAGCTGAATAAGCCAACCAATGCAATATAAATTCAAAGAAGGTAGAGCAGACTCTTGGAAAAAAAGTCTCTGTTATAGATAATGCATAAGGTGAAGGCAATTACATGAGGTCTCATTTATCCCAAGTGCTGAAGGGAAAACTTTCTGTGTACTCTGTGACAATTGCTAAGATCCTTCCAATCAGGAAAAAAAAATACAGCAAGAACTTGAATGGCCACACAGTAAAATGTTTTAGGCACTATGGATACAATAGTTTGGCTACTGTGTTAGATGCACTAGCAGATGAAGATGCATTAACAAATTGACAACAAACTCCAGTACACATTGCAGTTACAGCAACAGTATGTTTTTCTTTTTGAAGAAATGTTTTTCAAAATATATAAAATAAATAAAAGCTGATCATTGTAAGCAACCATCAATGGTAAATGGTTTGTCTCAACACTCAGAACTGATACATTTGTTGGACAGCTTGTTCTGTTGAAAAACAATAGACTAACTGGCAAGATCACTAGGTGAAAATAAAGGAAAGGAAGCCTAAAAAAAGAAAACTAGCGCAGGCATCACATCTAAGAATTGGTAAGCTGCAATATAATAATAATAATTATTATTATTATACAGGATTTATATAGTGCCAACAGTTAATAAATGGTTTCCTTTGGGTTTAATACCACTTTAACTGTCAAATGTCAGAACCTTTATGTTCAAACTTCTGACATTTGAGAATTAAATGATGATGTTGGTCTTAGTCTGGATGTTGACACCTCATGGGGAAACAAGGATCAATTTAAACACTAACAACAGATTTTCAGGCACCAAAAGCTGCCTACACTTCAGAGTTGTTGTACCTTTGAATAATTTTAGACTTAAAACCATGTCTGAATCTGACTAGCTGTTAAGGGGCAACAGAAACAATTCTAACTAAAAAAAACCTGACAAGGTGATATGATAAAACTTGAGCATTTCTGAAGAAATGCAAAATATAGTTTTGGAATGAAATCTCAGTCAACTTCAAATATCTTCTTAGTACAATCTGTAAAGGGTCTTTATTAGTTGTTTAATAAATGCAGTAAAAGTGCATGGCTTTCAGTGAAGACTCATAATATGTGCTTCATCTAATAGTTTAATATTCAGTACATAATCCTTGTGTTATCAGAACTCACATCAGTCATAGTACGTCTTCAAAATATCATAAAACTTTTAGATCAAATAAAATTCAAGATAAAAGGTTATTACTTGTTACGTGCTGGGAACAGAAACTCAGTTAACAGCTTTGATATCAATACTTATGAAATGACAGCATATGACAACACAAACTAAAGCTTTGAACACAAGCAGCGATTATATCAAGCCTGCTCCTCAGTTTTCTTACAATGACAATAATCTTCAAGCAGTAAAATGATTCCAAAGTGGAGTTTAATAAAAAGAATAAAATGTTACATCTTACTTAGCAGGGATAGTGAATCTACAAAAAAGGATTTTCCTGTTCATCTCCACATATTTCAAGCAAGCTGTAGCCAATGTGCATAATAACTCTTGCTGACAGTGAATAGGACTGTTGCCATGCCCAGCTTGCTTACGGGATCACTGCCAGTCATTTTTGGAACAAGGACTGATATAAGCTGAAATTAATATCAGGACAGGGAAATGTGCAAAAAGGTAAAGAGGACACATTTTCTTAAAGTTGAATCATTCCAGCTTAACACAATAGTGGTAAAACAAATCACATATTGCAATACTACATTAGACAGTAAGATCTGGCCTAATTGGCATTATTTAATAAGGTGCAAGGACCAAACAGGCTTCAATGGCCACTATCAAATATCAAGATCAGTTTTCATTTGTATGTTATGAGTTGAAGAAACTGAACTGTAAAAGCTGTGCCGGAAAAACAAGCAGAGGGAACAAGTCGTCAGTATCACCTCTGAGATAGAGGAACAGGGCTTTACTTCCTCATATCAGAGCTGCCCCCTGATGCTTAGTGATCCCAATGGTAGTAGGAGAATAATCAAGAAACCGTAGGTGTGCAGAAACTTGAGATCCACACACTGAAGAAGCAGAAGCAGGAAAATTCTTGCACTGCAAGTCTTCATATACAGCTTTCCCTCCAGGAAAGAGCAGTACAGGAGTGACATTACCAAATCTTACTCCAATTATGGTGAAACTAGCAAACTAAAGGAAGGTCAATATAAGCAGGAGAGAAACCCAGCACTGCAATTAACCTGGCTGAAATATGACATGCTGTTTTAAAGGACCAATCTTTGCAGTCCATTGTGCTATGTTCTTATGCTTACACTTATTTTGTTTACACTGCAATTTAAACAACTGTAAACCTAACACAACATAAAGATTTCCTTGCACATCTTTTATTTTTTTTTTACTGGTTTGCACCCAACCTTTTTTCTCAATACTCTTCTTTTCACATTTCCTACAGTTCCCAGTATTCCTAGCACACTTTATGTCTCTAGCAATTCAATCACAATTTACTAAAACTGTAGAGTGCAAAATCTGGTGCAGCTCTGCATAAAAACCAATCAGCATTCAGTTCTTTTTTGTCAACGCTGAGCAAACTTAAATTAGAAGTGGATTGGTTATCATGCACAGCTGCACCAGATTTTGCACTCTCCAGTTTTAGTAAATCAACCCCAATGCCTCAGTTATTCTTTTTCACAGAAATTATTGGGAAGAATGCATGTAAGTGTTATGAATGTCCCATGAATCGCTCACAATGCTTATACGTCAGCAAGCCCAGTAAAGACAATAAAGCAGCAAATAAAGTCTAAGTCTCACCTTGCTATTTCCATATGCCATGTCCATAGCCTCCAGAGACAATGAGCACAGGGCATTAATCATATGGTGTAGAGATACATCATCTAGGTATCTAGACGGAATATACAATGCCAATTAAATAAAACCTTTTACATCCAACCATTTATATTTAACCTATAAACTATAAATAATCTTGTATTTAAAGTTCAACAGTAACCAAAACTGATTTTTTCAGCTGTGTGGAAGAAAGTCAAGAATTTGTTTGCCATCTCTCCCTGTCATAAGACAGAAAATGGAGGTCACTTACTGAGAGCTTTCAAAAAGTCGTGAGAGGATGGTAGAGATTACAGGTAAATCGGTCATAACTGCAGTGGTTAAAACCTGAAAAGACAAGAGTGGAAATAGAAGAACATCAGACAGTCTTTAGTGAACAAAAACAGAGACACAGATGTAGTTTCAGGTACATAAACATTGGTGAATGACGTGTGTTTACTTAAAACCCAACCAGGGAGTTACCAGGAAAAAAAAGGGTCTCACAGTGGAGATGAGGAGAGTGCTGGAACAAGGAGTAAGGTAAGAATTTTCCTCTATTGCTCCTCCTTTAGAGTGAAAGAGCATTTAGCTCTTGCAGTATGAGGGGCTTTAATGCTTGGGCATGCTCTATGTGGGTCATTTCAGAAAACATACTATGGGGTTGATTAACTAAAGGCAAGCAGACTGTTTACTTTGCCAGGAAAGTTTCAGTTTGCAAGGAGATTTACCCCAGAGCTTTGTAAATGAGAGGACGGTCTGCTAACTTCTATCATACAATTGTGCGCAAACAAAAAAGCTCTTTTTTTTCATTGCATGTGATTGGGTATTCTTTGCAAAATGAAATTTCATCACATTCACTAAGCTCTGGAGAAGTAAACAGTCTTTTTCCCCTTTAGTAAATACAGGGGTGTATTTCCAAAAGCAGCAAAGTATGACCAGCCAATCATCAATATGTAGGTGATCCAACAGTAAAAACTCACTGTGCTAGGACCTTCCACTGCTCTCCCTGGCTTCAGTGCCCCACCACTGCTGGGCTTCAATCCAAGGATCCACACCAAGTGCTAAAATACATAAAACTATTTTAAATACACGATAAAATGCCAGCAACAAAACCAACACACAATTTGATTACCACATATAACTCAAGCTTTAATTTAAACTAGGAACTTGTAGTCCCATAGTTACTACGCAGTCTTTATCCTTAAAACCATAACTTGAAACTGATTGGAAATCCACGCAGAATTCTCTTGCAGAGACATCAGTTTACATCAGTTTTCACTGGCGTTTCAGTGAGTTTTTATGCACGTTAACATTAGTTTTCATGCTCTTCAGTTATGTGCCCTATTCACAGCACAGTGACTGATGTCACATCAGTTGCAGAAAAAAATCTGCATGTGATACTAGTGTATCAAAACCATAACCCATATATGAAGGCTTGGGTGGGTTATGGTTTCGATTTCTTCTTCTCTGTATCTGTCCTTATTTTCACCTTATCTTGTATATGCGCTTGTGCACGCTATATTTGCACGTGTATCCTCATACGTCCTAATCCTTTTGATTTACAATTTTATAATCTAATATGTATTTTAATACATATCTATTATGTGGTTCCTATATTGACCACTAACTTCACATATTATATATTATATATATTTAGGTGCAACCTGAAAACTCACCTCTTCAGGGAAGCCTACCCCACCCCCTGCTAATTGCCGACCTCCAACACTCTTCCTACCACTCCATCCCCCACAGCTATCTCCTCCTGTGCCACCATCCCCTCCCTCCTAGATTGTAAGCTCGAAAGAGCACGGCCCTCGAACCCTTCGTGTATCACATTGCATTGTTTTCGTACTGTCGCATGTTCTGTCTCCCTTTGTAATGTACAGCGTTGAGCGAACTGTTGGCGCTTTATAAATACTGTTTAATAATAATATAATAATAATGTGGGCACGAGTATTTCCCTCCAATCCCATTATATGTGAACCATTACATTTATTGTTTATTTGTCATAGGAATATTGATTTTATAAGCGTTTTACACCACTATTTATTTATATGATTATGTCCTCTGTTGCAGTATTCTTTTTTTATCATTTGTTCAATCATTTATTTTACGATTTAATTTTGCATTATGATATTTCCATTTTTATTACTGTTTATTATACCTATGTGCCAGCAACGTTGGTTGAGCAATATGGTTTCCGGATAAGATCCTTTAAAATGTGTCCCTTTTAAGTTTAGCTACGTCCCCTGCAGCTGTCCCCGCCCCTACGTCCTCTATTTAGATAGCCACCCCTGCTGGCCAATCAGGTCTGAGGAAGAAGATGCCGCTTCGAAACGCGTTACCGCCCACCCACGTCATCATGTTCCTTCGCTGATGTCACGTCCGCCCCGGCAACATTTGCAGTCCACGCTGGTCCCCTACGGCGGTCGGCGCTTCAGGATACCCTCCCTGTCCACATCGAAGGCATGGACACCGCTTGCCCTCTGTTTCCTCCCGGGAGCCTGGACTACATTTGGTGATATGCTCTTTTTAATTTTTCTTCCTGCGAGTTGCCAATTGTCGTTTTTACCAATAAAACCGTTAATTTATTGCTGCACTTAGCGCCCCTCTTCCTTTTTTTTTTATGTACAGAGTTCAGCTTTGCTGTAAGGGTGCTGCCGCTGATGCCGCTTCTTGCTTATGTACTCTCATTGTGAATGCTAAAGGTCTCCCACATGGACTTTTAATGGAATTTATGGACTTTCATGTAGTTCCATTATACCTCTCCAGCTCCAAATTTCTATACATTTTGATGAAGCCCAGAGCCCCTGAACAGCAGTAAATCATAAAGCAGAACTACATCCATCAATTTAACATTTTCAAAAAACAGTTACATTCCAGGAATGCCGGGATTGACAACTGTCCCATTTGTTTGTATCCTCAATCAAACTGTCAAATCATCAAATGACTGGTGTCATAACTGTTCACATGTGCAGCACCATGGCAGTTGCAGATCAAACAGAAGCAGCTTCCTTGGCTGTAACGGATAGGAGGGTTTAAATTCCGCTTTAAGGCTGTCAGCAGATTGACCTCTACATATATTTGGCAGTGCCTAAAATTGGAGAACAACTGAGCATGTGCACAGCAGGCTGAGACAGTGTATTACTGGATTTTGAACAGTATAGGCACTTATAACTATGTAAAACATTAAACAATAACTGCAAAAGGGGCCAGTCTGAAGTGATCTAGCAGGACTTAATTTTCTGACTAAAGTTCCAGTTTAACCTGATCAGGACTAGCCCCAGATCCTCAGAGTTCCAGCAAATATCTGTGTTAGTCTCCCAATCAAGCCCTGTGTCTCTGTGAAGCCCACTGGATTATAGGTTCAGGCTGTATATGGGGGCTTTTTTCCTAAAACATGGGGTGACAAAGATTCTACTTATAGTCATGTGAACAACTTTTATAAAGTAGTCATGAAACCTTACAATGGTATAACTACGTTACCTGAAGTGTTGCAAGTACTAGCTGCCAGGATGTCCCCAGGTATCCACCATGGCAATGAGCTAAGTTAAGCAGTGTCCGCATACACTGGATATTCTTAGCAGTAAGCTGTACAGAAACAAAATATAGTAAGACAGTTTTTAATTGAAGGATCAAACGCTTTTTACCACCTAATACTTGCATAAAAACAGAAGAGAGAAAACAAATAAATGTACTCTACCATAACAGTTCCTTGTGGCTGCAGAGCTAGAGGCTGACCAACGGCTACTACTTGCTGATGTGAATCACTAGAGGGACTAATCATCTGTACATTCTGCCCCTGGATTGAATAAGCTATGGAAAACAGCAAAAGAAAAAAACAAATACAATGGAAATAATACTACTTACAAAGTGTTATTTCTGCGTGTCAACGGATATGTAGAAGATGAGCAAGCTTTTGTAACACAATTTTACAGCAGCTCATGTCTATCCACTTTGAGAGTTCCTTTATACCTGGTTCACACTAATGCGATTTCAGATGTGATTTAAATCACACAGAATCACATGGCAAGGGAAATCACATTATTTTCAATGGCGTCTGTTCACATCAATGTGATTTAGCATGGAGATATTTTGGAAAAGGTTCCTGTACTACGATTCCAGTGAAATTTTGACCCCATAGAATATATAAACCTTATCAAAATTGTATCCAAGTAGCACTATATAATCGCAATGAAAGTCAGATCAAAATTGTGTTGCAGCACTGTGAACCTAGCCTTAGCCCAAGTACAGACTGCAGTGTCTTCTGCTTCTTTCTGTTACAATGTATTACTGCAGGCAAAAAATATAGCAGTATTTCATGATTAGAGAAAAGCTAAGCAAGTCATACAAAAACTGGTTCTGATGACTAAAATAAACATTTCTGACGATGTACAAAATATCTGCCAATTCACTGGAGATTTTTTATATTTTTACCTAAACAACACAATTAAAGCCCAACTCCAGCCAAAAATGTTTTCATTTGAACTTTTAATAGGCTAGGGAATAAAATACTTCCGTCAAGTTTGCATTTCTGCCCAGCACCCAACTGGGAAGCTTTCATCTCACTTTCTGTTCTTGTAAAAGCAGGGAAAAAAAATGCAGGAAGCAGTTGTCACTTGGACAGAAAGACAAACAGTAATAATCTGACAGAGGTTCTAATCCTTCCCCATTTTACTGGGGAAAAAAAAAAAAAAAGAAGTGTTTTGTTGTAGTCTGTGTCCCCACTGCAGAGACTGCCATTGTATTATGTCCTGGCCAGAAGCAAGGGGAAATCTCTGCAGTGGGGACACAGACTGTAAATTAAATCTTTACAAATTTTCTATCCCAGCCCTCGAACTTTCCACTGGCCCGCTCACATTGGGCGATTGGAAATAAGGTGGGGGCAAGCAACACCGGGACTAGGGGTGTGTGGAAGGAGTGGCGGTGGGGGCGGTGACAAGCAGCTTTCAAGCTCTTGCATGGCTTTCAATGAAGCAGCTTAAAGTCGCGGGAGGGAGAGGGGGAGAATCAAGTTCCAGCTGCTTCATTAAAAGCCATATAGCAGATGACTGCTTGTCACCGCCCCCTTCGCTGCACAGATCATCCCCCAACGTTCCGTTTCTTTTCCTCCCCCTATCCTCCACACTAATAGGAGAAGAGGGGAGAAAGGCTGGATCTGCTCTGTCTCCCCTGTGCCTCTGAAGCTGCACGGACTTGAGTGTGAGCGGGAAATTGAACACAGAGTAGCAGACAGCTGTGATGCTTTTAACTGAGCATGCGAGTCCAACCTCCCTCCCTTCCACCCACCCCTTCCTTCCACCTCTTCCTTTCTCCCTTCCACCCACCCCTCCCTTCCTTCCTTCCACCCTCCCTTTCTTTCTCCCTTCCTTCCTTCCACCCACCCCCCTCCCTTCCTTCCTTCCACCCTCCCTTTCTTACTTCCTTCCTTCCTTCTACCCACCCCTCCCTTTCTTCCACCCTTCTCTTCTTTCCACCCCTCCCTTCATTCACTCCTTCCATCCACCCCTTTCTCTCTTCCCTCTGATCCTTCCACCCCTCCCTCCTTTGCACCCACCCTTCTGTCGCTCCTTCCTGTGCAGTTTTTTTTTTTTTAGGAGCCTGTAAGGTATTGCACCCACAGTCAACAGATCACGGGTGCAATTTCAGGCTCCTGCATACTGTCCGTGTAGCTGTCTGCCCATACCTCTGATACGGGCAGGCAGTTACTGAATGACAGGAAGATCAATGAACTACCCAGAGTGCTCATCAGTGCCCTGACAGGATACAAGCCATCAGCTGCAAAGGCTGATGGTACTTTTAGATCACATAACTCTGAATGAATGACATGGCCGTGCGGGTAGAGCTCTGCATGGCCATGCTCTTTTTTTGAATTGTGACAGCGGGTGCGGGGAGAAGATCCCCTGCCTGCTGTCACAGAGAGGTGGGGTCAGGGGAAGAGCAGGCAGATGCTGAACAGGTTACATGTTATACCCTAAATATGAGTGTAACATGTTCACAAAGGTGAACTTATCCTTTAAAAGCCACTGGTCTGGGATACACCATAGTTTAAAGTGGAACTAAAGACAAATCATTTTTCATTTTGAGGGTTATAACTCTAGTAAAGATTTTTTTTTTACCACCTGTGTCCAACTGGGGAAATTTCTCCTCACTCCCTGTCACATAGCCACAAAGGGAAGTGGGAGAAAATCCCTACAAAGTGAATCCTTGGGTGTCACCAAAACTAGTTTTCCCTTCTATCCCTGTTATGGTGACAACTAAAATTTGGGATTTTCTTTAACTTTCACTCCCAGTGATAACAATCATCAGGAGAAATCCTAAAGAGAATGAATCTGCCTAATGGGGACATAAACAGCAATGAAACCTGCACGGTGTTCTAATCCCTATGAAAAGAATGCCTTTATTGATACTTTAAGTATGTATGAGGTAAAACACGTATGCAGAACTAATGTAAACATAAAAGAATATGGAGTTTAGAAATCATAGTTTTCTTACTTTTGTTGCTTAGAGCAGCTGATGAACTGTTCAGCACAGTGAGGGCATAGTGTGGTGGTAAGGAACCTTTGCAAATAGCAGTAATGAAGGCGTCCCTTGGTGTTACAAGCCCCAACTTTCCACAAAGAGCTGCCATGGTCATTTCAGCTTTCAAGATGTTTTCTGTAGCCGCCTCATCCGTGCTGTAGCAAAAGAGATGATTCTGTGTTCAGTCAGTGCAAGCAATGAGTCTATTTCTGCACTTAAAGCATCACATGAAGAACTTAAACATAAACACATTACCACAAATTAAAAAAAAAAAGTTTTTGTGCTTCTCTTGTAGACCAGGGGTCTTGAATTAAAATTTACGTTGGTCTATTTGGTAAATTTTTCTTCCGGCAGAGGTTCGAATCTCATGCTTGCACTATAACACATCACAGTCCCCCCTGTATATCAGCGTCCTCACCCCCCCTCCCCCTTCACATCACAACCTCCCCTTTACATCAAAGTCCACAGTACCCCTTTACAGTTTAAAGCAGTCCCCCAGTGTCTTTAGTTCCCCTTCATGTCACAGTGCCCCTTTACATTGCAGTCCAATTCACATCACAGTGTCCCATTGAACATCACAGTGTTCCTTGCAGTCATAGCCTCCCCCCCAAACCTCCTCCCTGTCCCCCTTTCATTTGCAGCCTCCCCTGTACAGTCCTACCAGGGCAGAGGCACTTCACAGCCTGGCTATCGTCTCCCGTGTCTCCCACTCATCCTCACAGCGGTTGGGGGCGGGAGGTGCTGTAGATCTGGATGGAAAGCGGGAGCTGACCAACTTATTATGTTAATAAGCGGGCGATTACCTGCTTGTTAACTTGAGAGACTACTGGTAACAACCAAAATTTGGGATTTTCTTTCACTCTCGATGATAATCACCAGGATACATAGAGAAGGTGAATCTTCACAATGAGGACACAGAAAGCAATAAAAAACCTGACAGGGGTTCTAGTCACTCATTTAAAAAATGCATTTAGCTATACTTTAAAGAAGAGACGTTGCATTTGCCCAGAGGTAATGCAATTAGGCCCAAAGTGAGGAAAGGCCTCTGTACTCACACACCCAGGCAAGTGATGATGAAAATTTCAGGAGGTCAAAGGTTAGAAGTCATTGTAGACAGGTGGGGGAAATTGACCAGAGATTCAGGTGGTGGCCTTTTTACACCCAGTCATGTTACTGACCTGCTGCCAATTACCCTAATTAGCTGCAAAATATTTTTTCAAGCTCTTCCTAGTTAGTACCACTTACTTTGCCAGCTTTTTCCTGCCCTGTCCCAACTCTTTTGAGATGTGTTGCTGCCATCAATTTTCAAAATTACCTTTTTTTTCTAAAATAGTACATTTTCTCAATTTAAACATTTCATGTTTTCTATTTTTAAGTGTGAACAAAATATAGGGTAATATTTGCAAATCATTGCATTCTGTTTTTATGTAGATGTTACATAGCGTCCCTACTTTTTGAATTGGGGTTGTAGGATTTACAATAAAAAACACTATACAAAATGCTAAAAAAAAAAAGAAAAAAAAAAGGAAAACACGGAGGTCTGTTAAATAGACAATGGAGAGATGAAAAAATGGAATCAAAAGGTAGTCAGCCCTAAAGCTTATTCCAATTATGTTGTATTAAACAATCCTTGTTAAAAAAAAAAGGAAAAAAAAGAAAAAAAAAAGCTTTTGCTCACAATGCAAGTGAATAGGTCAGTTGATTTGCTGAAAACAATGGACCTCTCTGTGTGGGTAATATCTTTTCTCAAAAGTTGTTAATTCTGAGCTCCAGGAATTCAGCCACATTGTAAAATGTTCTGGATTACTAGGGATAAAGTCCAACAAGGTGCACTGATCACTTTATTTTACAACTTTTTTTTTTTTTTTTTACTGAGCACCATGAGTACAGCTATTGCGATGCTTCCAGATCTCCGATGCTAGACCTTCTGGTCTCAATTCCTGCAGCATCACATGAAGCCACTGTGCCCACCCCCTTCCCTCCTCCTGTCCAATCACAGAGCACTTTGGATTATGTGAACTCATTCACAAAATACAAAGGCTTCAGTGAATGAACAGTTGTGCGGAGGGGCAGCAGACATGCTGTGTTTTGAAAAGGCAGCACCTGTCCTGTCAGAGCACTGGGAGTATAGTGATAGCTACACTTCTGGATCCCCATAAAACTGTCAGAGGTAAATTAAAGAGATAAGTTCACAAGGTATAATGCACCTCATTGGACTTAACTCAAAGTATAGCAGCACATATTGCAAAGTGGCTAAATTCCTGGAGTTCAGCTTTAAGCATGGAATTAGTTGTGATAGTGGCTATTTATCCAGCTTCTACTGGCCAATGTACAAATTTAACAAAATAATAAAGGAATGTAGTACAGCTGGAATTACACGTTTGGTAAACATTATGGGAAAGTACTGTGCTTGTGCCTCATTTAAAGAGGGCTCTCTTTACCACAGCTGTAATCCACTAAAGCAGGGACTATACATGGGGTTTGATAAACTGTAGGGGGAAAGTATTATAATTGTGCTTAACCTGAAGTGGGCTCTCTTTACCACAGCTGAAATATAGCAATTCAGGAACTATACACAGGGTTTGATAAACCCTATGGGGAAACTATTGTGCCTGTGCTTCATTTGAAGTGGGCTCTATTTACCAAAGCTGGAATGTAGTAAAGCAGGAACTATATACAGGGTTCACTAAACTCTACAGGGAATGCAAAGGGCAGTAAACACAAACCTTTAAAAATTCTGAATGCAGCTGGACATGTGGTATTACCAACTACAGTTGTGTCCAAAATTATTCAACCCCCAATGCTGTAAAGGGGTTTAGGGACTATAGTGTACATTTGGAATTGTATTCAGAATCAAATCCTACAAGGACGTTGTAACTACCCAAATGCAACTAAAATGACATCAATTGTTTATGTAATACAGTAGTAAATGGTTCTTATGTGGTTTCTTCATTGCCACAATTATTCAACCCCTTAAAGACTACCACTCTGAAGAACAGAGGTTCATACAGGTGCTTTCCATCAGGTATTGAAAACACCTGTGGATGTCACCGAGCAGCAATCAAGCATAATAAGCACCAATTAGGCAGCTTTAAAATGACTGTGATACTCAGCTCCTTCTAGACATTTACTGGTGTGGTTACAAACATGGTGAAGGCAAGAGAATGGTCCAGGAAGACAAGAGAAGAGGTGATTTCTCTTCACAGGAAGGGCAATGGCTATAAGAAGATTGCAAAGATGTTAAACATACCAAGAGACACCTTAGGAAGCATCATTCGCAAATTCAAGGCAAAGGGCACTGTTGAAACGCTACCTGGTCGTGGCAGAAAGAAGATGCTGACTTCGACTGCTGTGCGCTACTGAAGCGTAGAGTGGAGAGAAGTCCCCGTGTGACTGCTGAGGAACTGAGAAAAGATTTGTCAGATGTGGGTACAGAAGTTTCAGCCCAGACAATAAGACGCACACTGCGTAATGAAGGCCTCCGTGCCAGAACTCCCAGGCGTACCCCCTTGCTGTCTCCAAAGAATAAGAAGAGTCGACTGCAGTATGCCAAAAGCCATGTGGACAAACCACAAAAGTTTGTGGGATAGTGTTCTGTGGACTGATGAAACAAAATTAGAACTGTTTGGGCCCATGGATCAACGCTATGTTTGGAGGAGGAAGAACAAGGCCTATGATGAAAAGAACCTTGCCTACTGTGAAGCATGGTGGAGGGTCAATCATGCTTTGGGGCTGTTTTGCTTCTGCAGGTACAGGGAAGCTTCAGCGTGTGCAAGGTACCATGAATTCTCTTCAGTACCAGGAGATATTGGATGGAAACGTGATGCAGTCCGTCACACACCTGAGGCTTGGGAGACGTTGGACCTTTCAACAGGACAATGATCCCAAGCATACCTCCAAGTCCACTAGAGCATGGTTGCAGAGGAAAGGCTGGAACATTTTGGAGTGGCCATCGCAGTCACCAGACTTAAATCCGATTGAGAACCTCTGGTGGGACTTAAAGAAAGCAGTTGCAGTGCGCAAGCCTAAGAATGTGACTGAACTGGAGGCCTTTGCCCATGAAGAATTGGGCGGAAGATACCCGTGTTGTAGATCGCTGCAAGACACTTGTGTCAAGCTATGCTTCACGTTTTAAAAAGCTGTTATAACTGTAAAAGGATGCTGTACTAAGTACTAAGATTGAATGTCACTTGGGGGTTGAATAAAACTGATAATGCTGTGAGCACAGAAAAGACATTTGTGGTTATTTCATTATAAACTGTTATGTTATATTTGTCTGACCTACAAGTGCCTCTTTAATGTAAATGTAAGCAAGATGACTGAATGATCAAAAGCAATGTCAAACTGGCCAAAACACTCAATTTCAGTGGGGGTTGAATAATTTTGGACACAACTGTATCTATGGCCCTTTGAAATATTTTCTTTGAATGCTTGTGTTATCCACCCAGCACATTCTCCTTAAGAGCTAGTAATTCTATAATGTACTGCCAGTTTGTCTAAGTTCAACCCAAGGTGATGAGAACACCCACACACACAATGCTTCCCAGTAGTGCCCGACCAAGAGATGCATGAATGGCTTATTATGCAAGGTGTGACCTGCAGTAAGGATATATGAAGAATATATCTGATAGTAATGGAAGCAAACAGAAGATCCCTTTTAGGTGGTGCTCACAATTAACAAATCATATCCTTTCAGAAGGATATGACATGAGCAGCCTACGGGTTGACTTTGCTTGACTTGCCATATATCCATGGGGATAAATATATATTATTGGTTAGTGGCTCTATTGGTTTCTTAACAAGTTCACCTAGGATCACCAGGCTTCCAACAAACACGCAAATGTCTTGAGAACAGCAGCAGTTACTGCTGCTATATCTCCCCTCTTTTTTTGTTTTATAAAAGGTTTTTATTGCTATACTATAAAGTTAGTACAGAATAATGACACAAGATGAACATCTCATAGTAATATATTAACTATACATAGCATGGAGGAAACAATCCAGTTGGTGAGTGTGTAGTTTAACAGACATAGCTATATCTACTCAACCCTCATTGACTGTTCTTTAACCGCTTGTCATCCACCACAGACTGTTAGGAATAAGCACTAACACACGAAACGCGTCAATCGTGCTCTTTTCACCCACTGTACAGTGC